TTGAATGTGCCTGCACAACTTTTTGTGCAAGGACAAAAAATTAAAGGAAAATTTTAATATTGCACTACGGAAGAAAGTTATTTACAAATAAGGCCTAAAAAAAATTTACTCTACAAAAATGTGAGCGTGAAATGAAATAAAATTGCTATTTGAAATGACTAAAATGTTCAAGTTGGTTGGAAAGTTGGTAAAGAAGAGAAAATATCATTTTGGTACAAAAGATGGTCAATTTTACCTAAGCCTCTTGTTACTTATGCTTCTCCCAAAGTAGAGGCCATCTTTCATGCCAGAGTCTCTGATTTTTGCTTTGTTACTGGGGGCTAGAATATTGAAAAAATTAATCACTACTCAAACCAAATGTAATTAAATTTATTTTATTGGTTCAACCTCCCAACCCTTATGGAGAAAATGATATACTTGTTTGGAGACCTTCTTTTGATGGTGATTTCTCTATCAAATCTGCTTATAAAGCTATTGAGAACTGTGAGAGAAATGCCAATTCTAAAATTTGGTCTACAATCTAAAAATGACCAACTTATGAAAAAAATCAAAGGCTACTTGGGATCGTCTCCACACCAAATTTGTCAATTTGGGAAACGCGAATCATGCCATAAGAGTTTGTCCCTTTCGTTGCAATTCCATTCACATCTTATATGATTGCACTAAATCAAGGTAAGTTTGGTTAAAATTAATAAAGTCCTGTCAACTTGACACTTTCTTTTCTTTTCTTTTTTTATAGGATTGGATACTCTGGAATGTAAAGAATAATGCTGGAGGCCTAAATATTAGAAAAACCCCTTAGGAAAAACTCTTTGCTCACATATGTTGGAACATTTGGAAAGATCACTGTTCTTATACTTATTTTAAAGAACATATTCTTAACAAAGACATCATCTTCTTCAGCACCCAAAACATCATCAATGACCACTGTCTTCAAGCTCAACTAGAAAATGTGCATTTAGACCATGATGGATCTTTTGCTAGATAGATCTAACCCAAATCTAGTTAGGTAAGGTTGGATGTTGATTGTTCTGTCTACACTAATATAGCCACAACTTGTGGTGGCCTTATTTGGGATGACGAAGGCAACTAGATTAAAGTTTTTATCAAATACATTGGTTATCTTTCCAGCACTGTCGCTGAGCTCTTGGCCATCCTTGAAGGTCTTTCTCTTATTGGGGGTACAAATTCACCCGTGTCAATGTTTACTTCGACTCTCTTAAACCTTTATCGCTTATTTAGCATTATCTCAACCCGAACTATCCCCTCAATGAAACTATAACAAAAATCAGAGACCTTGTCTTGAAGGACTGGATTATCAACTTCAACCATGCATTCAGAGAAGCCAACAATTGTGTAGACTAGCTTGCTCATCAAGTGTCGAACGATAAAAATGACATCTTGATTTTTTATGACCCTTCACCAAAATGTCGCACTCTTATACGCTTTGACTTGACCTAGTTTGCATGGTTTTTCTGTGGTCTTGTATTAAAAAAATGATTGAAATGTTAAGAAAGTAAAAAGGCTCCGATCCAACGACTTGTTAATCATATAAATTTACTTATTAATTTCACAATAAAACTTGTTAACTATTTACTTTACTGGTTAATTCATGACTTCATATACTTGACTATATTACTTATTAATTTTCCAAATTTACTCATTAATTCTGCAACAAAACTTGTAAATCAAAAAAAAAAAAACTTGTTCAATCAATTGATGCGAAAAGTAGCTAAATTACTTATTAATTGCATAATTTTAGTTGTTAATTTCTTAACAGCACTTGTCAATTGCCTTTCATCACTTGTTAAATAACACTTAGTATCCTATCAAGCATCAAACCTCTAATAAATTCATTACTTGTGAAGTTGATATTTTAAATTGTAACTCACATAATATTACTTGTTAATCAAATAACATTACTTGATAATGCTTGACATCACTTATCAATTTATATTTTATCTCTAATTACAAATGAGAAATCACCAAATACATTCCATTTTTAATTAAATTTCAGTACTAGGAAGTCTTGTGCTGTTCATCAAAATTCCATCTCTAATTACAAAAAGAAGAATATGAAAAAGACGCGTACTTTAAATATGTCATCATCACCTTTTTGCATGGGTTAACTCAGTATTTGAAATTAGTGGAAGGGTTATCGTAGATTTTGAATTTGATGTATCGTTTGCCAACCACTATAGAACAAATCAATCCCTGACTATGGTTGGATGGGAGCGGAGTGGAAGGGAGGGATCCTCCAGTTTTGGGGGAGGGGGGAGGTTTTGGAGGGAAGGGGATGAAAAATTTTAAAATTTCTCTTTCTCTTCCCTCCAACTAAACAAACTCTAAGACAGATAGTTTATCTCATAGGACAATCATGCACAAGGTTAATATATATATATTATTTATAGTAACATTAATTTTATGATACTGAAATGGATCATTGGATTAGATCATTGCAAAGATTTACACTCAAGTTATTTATTTAATATCACTTATTAATCTTTTATACCAGGTTTGTTATCTTTTTAGGTTTACTTGTTATTGTGCTTTATACGATTTACAAGTCTACATTTCATTCAACATGACTTATTAATCTCCTATACCACTCTTATCAATTTCCTAATTTACTTGTTATCGATCTTCGTACCAATGCAACACATATATTAGCTGGAACCCAAATAAGTTATTTCATTAAAAAAAAAGGAAATTACACACTGAAGCCAATGTTGTGAGTTTTCGATCGGCGGGAAACAATTGACAAAACTACACACCCCGATAGTTATCCCAATTTCCAGAAATCACCGCCCCCGATTAAATTAATTAACACAAAGTAATGGAGTTACTAATTAATTAATTGTCACTGAGTTGCAACGTATAGATATGTGTTCACACACACACGTACTGATATTTAATTTAGTCGGCGATTCTCTTGAATAAATTGTTGGAAACTCAAACTAACAGACTGGAAAAGAAAAATAGTGATTTAAAAATATTCCAGCACAAGAAATTGAAAACAAAAGAAGCGACGAGACCTTCTGATTGGCCTCTTTGAATACAGGTCAAGATGAAGAGTGAGTATTGCCTGCCTGGGCCATCTTCCGGTGGAAGCATCCCTAACGAGGCAGGCCGAGGTCTCGGCCTCTGGAAACCCGGTCCGCCGAAAGTGTATCAATCGGATCTCTGAATCTTGGTATCGGCACAAGTAACACCGCCATTTTGCAGCCATTGTGGACCGACCCGATAAGACCTTGATCGGAATCTGCACCACAAGGCTTTTTCGGTGAGGGAATTGCAACAGGTCGGTGGTAATTGGCGAGGTTCTCAGTTCTCACTGGGTAACTTGAGTCTACATATTGTCACAAAGAGTATTTAGATCTTTTGATCATTGAGATTAATTTTATTTCTGTCTTTTTAGACTTAAAGTGATATTTTAAACTTTAATGGACCTTCACGAGTCTCTCGTATTGAAATTCTCCCAAAAATTAATGCCGGCAAATCATGCACGAACTCAATGGAAAAGTAGCGAAGTAAAAAGTAACGACTAGGGGCGGAAGGGATGACGTGGCAATTCCCTCTCGAGACAGTGACACGTGTCCGAGCGGGCTTTCACGTGAAGCCCCCCATCCCATGCGAAAAGGACTAGGAAACATGCTAAAACATTGTTCAAAGGGGGGGTTGGGAAAAGGTACGATGCCTTGTTTCACAAATGATTGGCTCCAAGATTCTCACTCACTCACACCACTTGTTGGTTAGGTTGTTGGAAGAATCACGTCTTCATCAATTTCAAAGAAAATTCCCCTTACAATGAGTATTTACATGTACAAAATTTATTTTTTTATAATTTTAAACTAACACAGCTATAGGAAAATAATTATTCAATTATAGATTCACAGAAATTTGATATTTAATTAAAACTTCGTCTTTTTATCTGTCCGAATCCTATTTCATTCAAATTTTCAACACTATTGTTTTAATTAGTTGGCATTCTTTTGCTTATATATGCGTATATCAATTGGCTCAATTTTTTTTTTTCATTTTAGAAGTTATGCAGGCAAAACTTTCAAAACTTATTTAGTATACAAATTAAAATAAAATGGAATGGGAACGGTGATTATTGATGTACGTACTGTCATTTAGATAATTATGACGAGGAGATAATAAACATTGAAAATATACTATTCGCATCACTTTGCCTTGACCTTCATATACGCCAGACGGGATACAAAAGAGTTTTGTTTTGGTCTGGTTCCTGATCATTTGCAGCTCAATCACACGCATCGCGCAAATGCCAATCGCCACGTGTTTTGTCAATTTTACATATGCGATTCCTTACCTCTTTTAATCATAAAAGATGATTAATATTAACGAGTGAAAAATGCAAAGGAAAAAGGTTGATATATATATATATATATATGCTGCGAAATTGGTAGCTATTCGTCCCAAACGTATTACACCCTGCGTGCAGCTCCAAGAGTTTTTTAATTTGTGCGCCTTTGAGCTTTATATTAGCCAATCGATCAAAGAAACGCGCGTGTGTATATACTGGATGTGGGACCTTTGTTGCTGAGCTGGACCTTCCATTCATTCATATTCTCTCTGGAACGCTGATGACGTGGCGAAACCAAATCTAAAAGATCAACCAATGACGAAAATCTTTTTCTACGTTGCATCATTTGAAAGGGCCGAACGTGCTCGAGGGAATGGAAATTTAAAACGTACCGAAAATACTCAAAATAACTTCCGAACACAATTAAAAACGTGAGGAAATTACACGGGAAGAAAATTTTCTATTTAAGAAAAAAAATTACAAAAAAAAAAATCATCATCACCTTGAACACACATACTGTTCCATTCAGCGATTTTCATTCCGCTTTAATTTCTCCTATAATTACCCACTCACTCTCTCTACTCATGAGTCAAACGACCTTGTTCTTGTTCACGCACACGAGTATATGATGATCAGAAGCGAGTAAATCCATAAAATTCTGTTTACGTAATAATTAGAAGGGATCTCTCTTCATCCCAATAACATTGCAGAAGCAAAGACGTTACACAAACTAGCACACCAGCAAACCAAGCACTTTCGGCTCTTAAAAACACCATGGATTGTTTAATTTATTCCTGGTATACGTGCATATATACATATATCCACAGGGCTATATATATGCATATAGCTAGAAAGAGGAAGCCAAACAAACAAATCCTTGCTAAAATATAGAGGAGATCAAAGTCTAGGAGAAGAGAACACTCGCAGGAGAAAAGAAAACACACCAGAAAGTGATGATGAGACGGAGCATGAAGGAGAAAAAAGAAGAATGGAGGAGAGTGGCATCAGATGTCGCGGACATGGAAGACATTGGGATTCTTGATGACGATATCGTACATGTAGATGGAGTTGAACTTGGAGAAGTCTCTGGGGAGAGAGATAAGGTCAATGGAGGAATGCTTGTGGAACTGATACAGATCAGGATCTCCACCATAGTACCTCTCCCACCCTAACCCAGTCAGAATCTGCTCTAGAAAGCCGTAGGACGACACTACCTCGCCGGTGGGCAAGTAGACGAGCACCTTCTTCCTCGACCCACTTCCCTTGCCGTGCCTCCCTCCCTCCGACCCCTCCGCCTGCGGATTCTCCACTAGCCGGTACACGCCGTTCTTGAACACCCACACCCCTGACATCGCGACGATTATATATATATTGGTTGTTTTGATCGTCAAGTTTTCGAGTTGGCCTGCTGGTTGTTGGAGGGGATGAGGGGTATATATATGTGTGTGCGCGTGTGCCCGGGAGGGGCAGATAACACAAGAGGGAAACACTCGAGTGTTAAAAGCTGGGGGATATGATAGTAATATGATAAAAAAGGAGGGTTTGGCATAGAATCTAGATATTGTGGGGCCAGGGTGGTTTAAATAAGAGAGCACATGGATGCCTCCCTAAAGGGCTAATGGGGGTTTCAGTTTGGCAGAATCTTCAAAATGGCTTGTTTTGATTATTATTTAGGAGGACACAGGGAATCTGCCATATCTGCTTAGTGCACTCATCCAAAGTCAATCGGAGGGTTTTCTGTGCGCCCCCACTTACATCACGAGAACTCCACGTGAACACTGCGACCCTAAATTCTTTCTTCTTCCAGATTTTGTTTTCATTGCTGTGTACTCATCATTGGGAACAATTGGCACATTTTTTAAAAGCCAATTCTCAAGCGCTTTACTTAATTTTTATCGCACAAATTAAATTAAATGTTCTCTTTTATCAATTCAATTTAAATCAATAAATCCTCCTCACTTATACGCAGGCCGTATTTATATACGTATGCACGTCTTTCGTTTTGCATCATGTATTTGTATTTCCCAGACTTTGTCATCGTACCATCATGCTCTTCACTGATCGTGTTTGTGTGATTAAGACTGTCCAATTATATTTAGTTCGATGCTCACTGGGATTAGTTTATAATATCAGTTTAAAGCATATTCGTAATCCTTTCTTATTTTTTTTTAGTTTGTATGTTATACATATGCGATGAGTCTGGAATCAATATTAATGTCGACCAAAACTATTACTTTATGCATAAATCAACTAATATACACATGCAGGTGCGAGGTGTGAAGAGATAGCAGCTAGGCACGGATTAGCTCCCTTGATCTCTACCCCTCTTGCCATTTGTACAATACCTTGTTAATTACTACTTTTCTGATATTAAAAAAATTAACTAAATATCAAAAACTTTTGTAACTTTCTAAAAGTACCCATTGATTGGTTTAGTTCGTTAAAGAGGGAGTATAGGAAACTCCCTATGAAGAGACAAGGACATTTTTGAAGATTAAGTATAAATATTTTATTAAATATTATGAAGTGTAGTATTGTGTTAAGGACTAAGAGAGGTAAGCTTTTATAAATATAATCGAATGAATATAGCTCAACGGAAGAGTCATTCATGGATTGAGACTTACTTATAATTTATGCTCTGTGGGCACCTGGTGCATGAACTTGTCGTGCATATGAGAACTTGTGTGGCCGACAAATACCAAATGGTTAGTACCAGACTAACCATGTAAAGGAGCATAAACTCAGAGGGTAATTAGAGTAATTGATTAGTTCTGGAAGCTGAATCAAGACAATTCACACGCAATTTCGTTTCTTTCTTTTTTCTGATATTCCTCAAAAGATGAGGTCATATCAATTAGAATTTTCTTTCTTTTTTTCTGGTTCGGGAAAGAAAAGAATCTGCGAATGACAGCTAGTACATAACTTTATTTGGCTCTTCTTTCTTTCAGTGCCTTACAAAACTGAAGTTTTCTTCCCTGCTGCCATGTTCTAGCTATTTCCAGATTCCTCATTATATTCCAAGCATTTTGAGTAACGGCGCAGCCCTCTTTTTTTCCCCCTCCTTCGCATGGTTGTATCGTTAAGGAATTTTCAATCGAGGAAAAAGAACGTGACGAAAAAATTTAATCTCATGCCTCGCAGTTTAATTCCATACACTGATTAATTAATTAGCCTTAACAAAAGTGAGCAAATTAATGAACAGGGCTTTGTCTGTGACTACAATTTCTACTTTTTGTGCATGTGCTGTTGAATTTCTTGTTGTCACTTCCTGGTTGGTCAATCAATCATATGCTTGTAATTAGTATTAGAGTGAGATATGAACAAATTTTGTCTGTCCTGATCAGTTTCATCATAAATCAGAAATTAATGATTGAGCCCTTCAGCAAATACATACATATATATCTTGAAAAAGACGACATACTCGGAGTTAATTCCAATATTGTAGATATATCACTATCATTGTCGGATAAAATTAGGTCTCCTGGTATAACATAATTCTTTGTTGCTTCCAATTGCTGGGTTCCCCACACGGCATCACATGGGCATGGCCCTCCACAATACCACCGAGAAAAGATACAATTGACAGAAACTTCTATGCCACTAAGTGTGTGTATTCTTCTCAATTAATAACACATAAATATTAAGTGGGTGTGACACATATGGTAACAGTTTGAGCTCCTTAAGCATTATTTTAAGATTAGATTCCTAGAGGCATGCATGTATACAAGTAAAATTGATTTGAATTGTCTCCGTATTTTTTCTCAATATTTTTTTATGCCCATAGAATAATATATCAATTTAATTTTTTCATTTGATTTAATGGCCATTTATTTATTATTGTCACTTGAATATTTTTAAAATAAGATTATAATGTTTCTTTATTGTAGTAAATAAATAAATAAATATATCTAATTTAATGTTACAATTAATAATAATCTTACACTAGGGTAGGTGTGAGGAAAGGGTGCGGAAATGATCCAAATTGTCATGCACATTAGGCATGCATAATGTGTAGAATAACATTCCAATACATTTACGTTTTGAAAAAATAATTATCAAGCAATGTTTATGTTTTCATTTAAAGGCAAATTAAAATAATTAAACTGTACAAGACTGGCTGGTGTACAAGAATTTCTCATAAAAAAGTTGGAATTGTTCCCTTCAAAATCTCAAAGAAGTAACCATGCATTATTATGATCTAATGGAACATGCATATAAAATATATAGAAACCAACACTTATAAGCAATAAATAACGACATAGCCCCAAAATCCGTGCAAAATACAAAAGTCTAATGTAGTGAATTGCAAATACTTATCCCTCTGCTTCTATTTATTAAAAAAAATTATCACTTTTTACTTTTTTTTATATAAGCAAAATTATATATTTCAATAAACATTTATTACACATTTTTTAAATTACCCCTTATAATTTACATTAACGAGAAATAATTATTGCATACTTATGTTGATTAACATAAAGCATTTTATTTTAATTTTTTTATTTTCAAACAAAATTATTATGATTAACTAATTTTCTTAAATTGTATGATATAATTTTTTTTTATATATAAAAATGAAGGGAGTATAAAATATATAAGCACAATTACTTGGGCTTGACGAAACAATATTAAAGGTAGTGGCATATTTAGGTTCCAAGATCATGGCTAGAATTGACAGGCATGAACAAATTAAAGTTTCATTCAATGGTGGTCCTTAACTCAGGCTCTCTCAGTGCCTGCTAGCTCTCTGAGCACCCCATGGGTTACTTCATGTTGGCATGTTCCTGTGTGTTTCTCTTTAGGACAGCCACAAAAGTCCTCTCGACACACACCTTACAGACAACACCCTATGATCTTCCCACAAATCCTACGTGACGCTGTCCCAAATCTTCTTTTTCCTCCTTCCATTTTCCACCTTCAACTTTGATCTCTCCCCCAGTTTTAGATCAAAAAAGAACAGAGAGAGAGAGAGAGAGACTTTGCATATTTTCCTGTTACGAGACCCTCATGCTTTCAATTTTTTGTTTGAAGTTTGGACGACACACACGCAACTCGATCGGTCATTGACAAGATTCTAATCCCTTATTTAACGAGCAAAGTGAATATAAAGCAGAAAGAGAACGAGCGCCCACCCTCCTAAAAAAAACAAAAAAAGAAAAAAAAATTCATGGAGGCTATTATGTCACTAAATTCCCCGAGGCACCAACAAGACTTTATGGAAAATTTATGCCCTAATTAACTAATAAGCACTTGAAAATGACTGTTGTTGGGTTATTAAAGTTAGGTCCTTTATATATAGAACCTTCCAACCGGTATTCTGCATATATAAAAGTTTGAAAACTAAATATGCATCCTAACAAAAGCCTAGCCAGCTGCTAGCTACCTAGTTTTCTCAAACTTGTCCTGCTTTACAATATTTGGCTTGCCTTCTGGAAATATCTCTACGACACATCTCACACGTCAATATCAGTTCCAGTTGTAAAACGTACCCTTTGCTGAAATTGACATTAATTATTCTCGTCCAAAGTTTTTCTTTTCCTATCAGCATTTTTGAGTAATCAACAAGTTTGGGAGTTATAAATCATGGTTTTGATTTATTATTAGAAGCTCATATAACGAGAAGACAATACATACAATAGTATTCGTTAAGGTATGTATTACGCATGAAGTGTTCTACTTCTAGTTGAAGTGGGTTAGCTAGCGCAGAAATTCTGATTCTAACAGGGTTATTTATATATAATTAATAATACAAGGATTCAATAAAGAGAAAGCCTTCTTTTTCCCCCCCAATTCACGTAGGGTTTAATTTAATTGTGTCATTTGTCCGTTCTTTCAGGGATAGGTAAGCCATAAACAGGCCACGACTAATTAAATATTAAGAATATATATCGATTGAATTGTATTTGATTCTAGGGATCGATGACATATAAAGCAAAGATAAGAAAGTTACACAGAAGATTAATTAGAATAGCATATTTTGGTTAGGTGAATAATTAGGTTTCTTTATCGATCGTAATAAAGAATATTGGAATTGTTTTTGTTACATTGTGAGAGATCCCTTAAATACCATATATAATATATATTTCTCTTACACACACATAATGAGGACTAAAGCGATCGTCAAGAGAAGCATCTAATGCCTTGTAATAACAAAAAATAAAAAAGAAAATGAGAGAGGTCAGAGAATGCCCTGCAAAGGTAAGCCAGTAATAGTGGCGAAGAAGTGTGAAGAAGCATATATTCCACCATTTACATGTAATTAATTATACATAATCATCATCATTTGATTATGATGGGACATTAATTGTGACTGCGCAAGTTATCTCATACGCATGTTTAGTTTATTACGTTAATTAATTATTAATTATAGACTAGACAAAGAGAATTCTGTGCTGTGAAATTTACTATTTGCGAGCTAGGTAGCTAGCTAACATAGCTGGATCCATTATATGTTTATGAATAAGTGAAAGATTACCAAAACACCTCCCGACAGGCAGCTATATACAAATCGTCTTTCAGTAGAATCACATTATAGATTAATATTTATAATTTGTTAATCACACGGAGCACACGAGAGTTGACATACATATATAAATTTGGGGGCCGGGAGCTGTGAATGTTGATTGCATATATGAGAAAAGAAAACAATTATTTAAATTAAATGAGAATCTGAGGAACAAAATAAGAATATAACTATCCTCTTAAAGTATGAAACTGTCACCAACAAGATATCATTCATGTATACGTACAAGATAATGTACCAGCTAGCTTCGGGTTCTTTGCCGATTCGTAGACACACAATCATTTATTTTAGCATATCTACAAAATGTGCCAATAAACAATTGTAAAATGAAGCTGTCTAATTCCCATGGTCCCGTTGAAGAACATATAGCTTTCTCAACCACACCGATTGATATGTTGCGCGCACTTGTAATATAACATTAATTATCAATATCGATACGTATGATAAATTTTATTTATAACAAAGTGCACTATTCATAAATAAATGAACGATACTAATTACTTAATTTAGATATGGCTTGAGAGAACCACAATCTAGTCATCATGCATTAATTTCATTGATTTTATATTTCCAATTTTTGAAAGAATATATATTTTTAACCACAAAAAAAAGATAGTGTCCAAAATAGTGATGCGTGATGACCTTTCAAGTTTCGACAAATGCCAAAATAAAATTTAATATTGATAGTATTGTCGCTGTTAAAAAAAAAAAAACAGAGAAAAAGTCCGAGATAATCAGTCTAATTGAATGCTTAGCAAGGATGTTTTCGAACAAGTTCACGTAGTATTCTTGGTCATTAGTCTGGATTCTAGTCAGATTATTTTGAAGAATTTATCAAGACAATAAAGAGAAATATATTTTGTATGGAGCAGTCACAGATACATTGAAGATCAGTAAAGTGCGAATTTATATTGATATTTATTGCACAAGTTACATCGTAATAGTCATGTAAATCACTTCTTGCACAAATAAAAAATGAACGACAAACCGACCAAAAATGAATGTGTGTTAATAATCTTAGACTTTAACACTCTTTATTTTGATGAATTTTGAGCGAAAACAAGTGGGAGCAAACGTTTTACAGTTTTTTTTCGCAAGCGATTCCAATGCCGACAAAGTCCCAATTCCTTCTCCATCTTCCTCTTCGTCTCCCCTCTTTCTTCTACTTCCCTTTCTCATTCATTCGTTCGTTCGAGTCACAAGGCGATCAAAAGGGAAGCGAAGGCCATGGATGTGCCTACCAATCCCGTCCTGACGCGTGCGGAGCTGCTCGGAGTAGAAGGCGAGTCATCGCTACTGTTATCGGCGGCCAAGTCATCGGACGGTCCCGGAGCATCTGCGGGTGCAGGCACAGGTGTACTGCTAGCTGGAGGGGATGAAGCACCGTCGTCACCACCAGTATCATCACTCGGTGCATCAGCCGCGCTGTCATCATCGGACGGAGACTGCGCCGGTGGCTCTGAATCGTCGTCTTGCTTCGGTGGGAAATTAGTTTGAGCTCCCGGTGCAGGCCATGGACTCTGAGCATCAATGCCGGGGGGGATGATCGGCTGCGAAACCTGGAGAACGGAGATATTGTAAGGCTGAGTGACAACGGTCTTCACGAACTGAGCGTTAAGAGGAGCGCCTTTCACGGCAGAGCCGAAGTAGAAATGACCGCCGCCAGCGTTGTAGACGAGGAGGAAACCCTGGTTACTGTTGGCAACGCCGCTGGACTGGTAGAGAGTGGTCAATGTGGTGCTGTCGTTCCTGATGTTCATGAGCTTCTTCTCGTCGTAGTAGTCAAGGATGATGTGGGTGCTGACGATGGCCTTGATGGAGTCCTTGGATCGGCCGGATATGGAAGAGAGGGACGAGTTGTCGACGGCCAAAACGGTGACGGTACCACGTCCGTTGATTTCACCGGCGAGACTGGAATCGGTGATGTATTGATTGAGCAACCCAAAATTCGGGTATTGTCCCAGCAATCTTGTGATATTGTAGGCCCCAGTGACCGAAGAGAAAGTCAGCAGAACAGAAAAGCAGAGGAGGAGACTAGTGGGGCCCATGCTTCTAGGCTTTTTCGAACTTAATATTTCTTTTTTAAGCTCTTCTTCCAATGAGAGCCGGTGGAATGGTACCCGAGAAGAAAAGGCTTGAGGATCTCGGAAAAGCGAACGAGGTATATATACGAGTCACGCTCGTGGAAGTTGAGTAACGAGTTCAAAACTGAAAGTGGGATTTGGTGTGGCCTGGGAACGAACCTCTCTCATCTTTACTATTTTAGGGCATGTTTTGGATGGTTAAGCCTGTCTTTACTTAAAAAGGAATTAAGAGATTGGGCAATGCTAGCACGTCGTTTCTCTAAAATTAGGATTTTTGCTATTTTTTAAGCGTCTGCAGCCCTTTAAAAGGCTGTAGCTTGTTGAGCAAGGTAACAACACTGCATGAAATCCAAACATTTAGAAAGAGCAGTGAGTTGGCAGGCAACATATCCATGGAATTTGATGTGGATGCACATCAACAAAACCTTACCAAAAACCACAATCTCAGCTCTCGCATCTCATGTTTGCCAACCCAAAAACAAAAAAACAAAAAAAAACAAAAAAACAAATACAAGACTCATTTTTCATGCTACTTGGATCTAAAAAATCACAATAGAATCAGACAAGTCTAGCTAAAATATTGCTTTCATCAGGACATTTATAATCTAGGGTGGGCACAAAGCCATGCCCCCAAAAATCACTTGGATTTGGATCAGCAATTCATCCGTTGTCTGAGAGGTCGTCAATTGTCGTTAATCTTGTCAATGATATCTGCTATCACCTTCTCCATATCTAATTGCTTCATTGGTGTAAACGGACGCTTCATGTCCTGCAACAAGACATGTCAGCAACACTAGACGTAGGTTTAGTGCGATATGAAATGCAACATTTATGACTCTTGAGCAAAACAACTTACAAATTTTATGCTGAATATCGATATATTGATATATAAAGCATGGTTATACAACTGCAGTGAGCTTTATTAAGAACTCCCAAATTTATTTACTCTCTCCATTTTGAAATGATTATTCGACGCTATTCATATAAATTAAAAAAAACTACTGATTTTAACAAAATCTAAGATATATAACTAAAATAATCTTATGTTAACAAGTAAAATATTATAACACTTGAGCCCCATCGATTATTATTTTCAGTGACAAAGTAAAATAATACATAAATGATTTTTCATTTAGATTTTGAAGCAATAATTATTTTAAAACTCTATGGCAACAATTATTCTGAAACAAAAGGACTACACAGTAAAAACTGCACTGCACAAGGAATTACAGTTTAGAATTTCTTTTTTTTTTTTCTCGTTTTAGCTATCTGATATATAATATTATTGGGTCTAGTTTGGAGTTTACGTGGTCATAGCTCTTTCTTCTAGAACTAGCACTTGTTAGTTGCTAAAGTTGAGAATCTCTTGTCAACACTCAGAGGTTTAGAGAAATGACATTGATACATCGAGCTTCTACAAGGAGGAAACAACAAAGATTTGCTTCACCGCACCTCACAAGTCATAAAATAAAACCCTCCACAACTAGGAATTCATTTTCTTTGGGACGATTTTCACTTGTCCTCCTCCAATACATTCATGATATTTCATAAATTCCGATTCCGATTAAATACCTTTCTTCAAAAGCCATTGATGTGACACTGCTACTTTCAATCTTCTCCATAATCCAAAAATAATATGACTTTAATACCTATTGTTAGGATTTCATCAATAACACAAGGAAAAACGAGCACATGCACACAAGGCAATATCTAAGATGATTTAACATCTAGAACGAACCTACATCCAAGATCACAAACCAGTTCTAAAATTTCCACAAATTAGACCTTTTCATGAAGCTTCTAAATCTCTCTTGATATGGGACTTAAAAACACATTCATTACCAAATGTTTAAGCCTAAATGGGAAGGTACTCTATAAATCCCTTCAACATACTTGATTCACGAGAAACAAATTAGCCTCAATCTACTATGAGAAAACCAAAGGGAATTTCATCTGAGCACTAGTTGGGAAAGACACATTCAAATCAAAACTCCGTTCAATCAGATACAGAAAGTAGCAACAATTATTCAAGTTACTTGAGTTTGATAACGTTATAATGGTACTCACCAAGAGGCTAATGAACTTCTCACCTCCTTCTTCTCTTATTTCAAAGCAACCTCTTCTTGGCTGATCAAAGCAGAAATCAGAGGCATAATCAACAATCAATAATAAATTAACAAGATCAATACATAATAGTCATTCCCATAGCATGACATAAACAATATACATGCCACAGAAAAAACAAAGCTACAAAACCTAAAGGTAAGAATAAAAAATTACCAACGCCTTTCCTCTCCAACATGCAAATTGCCTAGCATCCATATATAACTAGTGTTCCACATTTGGATTTCCCATTTGAATAAAAATATGATCAAGCATTCAGCTTCATCAAATGAATCGACCAAAAAAAAAAAAAGAAGCCAAAATTAACAGTTCTCGCAGCATACCTTTTCAGGGTTCAATATCACCAAGATCCCAGCAACACTTTTCTCAAGACCTTCTTTCACCTGATTGGCTCTCGTTTTGAATGAATTGCACTGTTTACTAATGAAAGCCAAATTCTTAATCATCAGCATTGTTCAAGAAAAGGATATCAACTTCAAATGAAACTGGAAAAACACAAATTTCACTGAAATCCGATGGCTAGTAGCCGAGTCGGAATTCCAGGACTCGTGTTAATAAAAATATCGGAGGACTCAGACAGTCAAGAACACAAAGGAAAAAAAATGTCTTTAGCCTGTTAACAACGCTCTTTGGGTAATTGACTAACATTTCAGCGTATAATGGAGCTTCAAATGTCGACTTATTTTGGTCAATCGGAAAAAAAAAAAAATCCATATTTGCAAGCACCAAAGAAGAAACAGAAACAAGGTATACAACAATGCGGTCCAAAAATGAATATTTGAGTCAATATTACTCAAGGAACTAAATCTTGAGCTCTCACCTCATCTTCCTAACAAGTTTAGGCATTACCGACACCAGCAGAAATGCCCTAAATCAAAATATTCACATCTCATAAACAATAAACCCTCCTTGCGCTCCTCTTTGTCTTTTATAAAAGAACACTTTGGTAGCCATTCACCAGAACCCAGAGAGTAAGGAATAAATAAATAAGCGATGAGATACGAAAAAAAATAAGTCAGAACAGGGCAAATAGCCAAAAACGAAACTTTCTGCATACCAGTGCTCAATCACGATAGTCCGCTTCGACCCATCAGCAGCACTAGCTGAACCAGCTTCGGGTTTCTCTGCTCGGCCTTCCTTCGGCTTTCCCTTGCCGGCTAGCTTCGGCTTCTTGGTCTTCTTTTCCGGCAACTCAGCCGCAGCAGAGACAGAAACAGAGTCTTTGGCAGCTCGCTTAGTCGTAGCACGAGTCACCCTGACGGACGAAATCGCAGTAGGCTGTTCTTGCAGACCCTTGGGTTTTCTGGGAGCCATAGCGGAGAACCCTAGTTTATAGTTAATGCTTCTTCCACAAGAAAATCACCAAGCTCTGGCCCTGATTGATGTTAGATGATAGATATATACTGAGGGGGTGATTCATGAAAATATGAGATGCTATCGCTGAAGCAGACTAGGCACTCAGAAATCAGGAATGAGATAAAGGCGCCCTTTGCCGCGACTCTGAATTTGAAGGGAGGGTTGAGATGTGGTGTGATGTTTGGCGAAGGATCTAGACCCTTGATGATCGGTCACTGACAGGTTGGGAAATCGAACGGACAACACCAGCTGAGATCCCCATTTCATATGAATTGGACCCTTTCAGATTCTGCTCAATCCAATAAGCGGCGTTGATTTGGGTCTTTCTTTTGGGGGGAAATGGGAATGCATGATAATGAGTGTTTTAAAAATTAAGAAATACAGTCAGTTAATACTTAATATGTTATGATGAAATTCTTTTCATGTTTCTAAACTCGTACTTAATTTATTTTATAGTTATTTATAATTAATAAAAACACGCGTAAATAAAAGTATAAAAAATCTAAAGAGATTTATTATATATTTGGAAACAGAAATATTATTGAACAATAGTACACACAACACCGTCGTCATCATGTTAATCGTTCTACCCTCCACGGCACATTTTTTACCGATCCCTTGTCTCCAGCATCCACTGTCGGTGTACGGCATATTATATCTTGTCTTAACTTGGCGTCAGGTATGACTTTTACTGTAATAATAAATGAAAATCCCACAAAAAAAATATTGATGAAAAGCCAATTTCACTCTAAAATAATAAGAGATCCAATTTTTTTTACTGAAAATCGATGTATCCTGTTTTATTAAAAATAGTTAATATATCAATACTATATAAAGTTAAAATTTACTTTTAATTTATTAATTTTTAACATCATACATAATTAAACGATGCTTCATTCATTTATTTATTTATAAAGAATAAACTACAGGAATATAATATTTAATTTAATTTGTAAAATATAGACATATAAGCAACCACAGCAAAATATAATTCACGTGGCCTCCATCCTGTGTTTTTTTTTTTTTTGTCAAAAGATACTTAATTAACATTAGCAAGAGAGGTTTATACAAACGAAGTATCTGACGTGGAAACCAGATACAAGAGTCCGTGCAATCTAATTTTTCAAACAAAAAGGAAACAAGGAATTTTACCCCAAAAAAAAAGGGGGAAACAAAGAAGGAGGAAGAAAGTAAAGATAAAAGGTCTTCAGCTATCACAGAGGTAGATGCATCCTCTGACTTGCAATTAGACAACTTACTGGAAATGCATATTCTTTCAATTTATGCTATTTCGAGGGAAATTTTGATTTCATATTTTCGATCCAAAGCCAAAGCTCTCCGAAGACAGGCCGAGGCAAAGCTCTGATTATTCACTCCAGGTATTCTGTCTATAGCCCAAGACAGAGTTTGCATGCAGCACCATCATCTCTTTCTTTTTCTTTTGTTTCTTGCACTGAAGAAACCAATCTGCTATATGAATGTGTTGCGGTGGTGAAAATAAATCCTTGAAAGATAGGTGTTCTGAATTTGATTTATCATCTTCCTTGAAAGGAATTAGGTTGCAAATATCTACTGGATAAGTTAATTTATTTTCAATTTCTTGAACTGTTCTGTCTAGCTTGGGACTGATGCCATAATGTAGGACAAAATTCCTGTTGTCCCATATTGAATTGATGTTTAGAATGGCTTTCAAGGGCATTCTGTCATGGTTACTTCGAAGGGGGAGGAAAAGTAAATTCTTGACCTTTCTCAGAGACTCTCCTTCGAATAGAACAATGGAATTAATAGAAAATGTACCAAATCATATTGCTCTTAAAAAAGGACATTGTAGGAAAAAGTGATGAATTGTCTCCAGTTAATTGCATCCGAAAACTAAAGCCAATAATTTAGACTAATCTCGACAGGCCAGCTCAAACACATTAAAAAAATTTAAAATCAAACTCAAAAAAAAATATTATTTTTTAAATATTTAAGCCTATTTGGGCAGCTCGAATAGGCCTAAGAAAAATTAAGGCTTAGTCCGTATACTAGAACAAAAAATAAACTTTTTAAAAAATATATAAAATATAATAAATATTCATTAATTCTTTAAATTTTATATCATTTTATACTAATATACTATATATTTGGGTGCACTACTATATTTTTTTAAAAAATTAAATATTTATATTTTCATTTTTTTATTATTTTTAATCAATAAAATATTTCAAAATATTATTTAAATATCTTTTAGTATTAATTTTTTATTTTTAAGAACTAATTTTTTAAAATTTTTTTGAATCTATACATCATTTGTGTATCCAAGAAAAATATATTTCATATTTTTTTATAAAATAATATGATTAATTTTAAAGTAAAAATAAAATTAAAAATAATTTTAAAAATAAAATTCGGCATATATGAATTCCCAACTCTATTACTAAATAAAAATAATAAATAGAATATTCTTGAATAATTATTTAGTTACCGTCTACGTTAAATTTGGTTAAAAATTAAGAATAAAATAGAGTAAAAATCCCTTGTATGTAAAAGTTAAAAAATATAAAAAGTTAAAGAAAAATAATTCAAAAAAAACATTTCACTCATAATTAAATGTTTTTATTTATATAATATAATGATGGTTATTTTTTATATTCTTAAAAACAAAAAGTATAGCCTCCCCAAAAGTTATTAAAAATTTTAAACTAATTGGAATAATAATTTTAAGTTAGCAGTTTAACTGTAATTAAATTGAGATTAACTTAATCGTAATTAAAAAAATATATAATTCAATTAAAATATAAAAAATAGATAATAGCTAATACATTAATTTACAAGTAAAATAAATATTCATGAATAAATTACATATAATACAACGAAATAGAAACAGAGCTATTTAAGTACAAGGTTAAAAATTTAGTATTTTTATTTTATTCTTTTAAATTTAAAATAATATTTTATACTTAACAAAATTATTTAAAAATTAAAATTGATTTAAAAAATATTTTAAAAAAGTTTGGTATTCGGGCCTCCCCGACTAAGCCCAAAGTTCGAAGGTGTTAAAGCTGAACTTAACTATATGAGCTTTGTAGAAGGGATAGAATATTCTAAGCCCGACCCAAATTGAATCTGATCTGAATAAGTTCGTTTCATCTGAATTACTAGCTCTATCGAAAACACGATATTTAGTGTTACTTAAATGATGAGTAGATAGAATGTCCAAGAATGGGATAGCTTCTGTTAGGTAGCTTCCACACAAAAAGCAGCTTTTTCTTCAGGAGCTTAAGTTTCTAAAGGAATTTCTAGAAAGGGTCAGATTGCTGATTGCCATGGAAAAGGATCTTGAAACCTTCTTTAGCAGTGTAAGAGCTTGACCTATGAGTTGACCAAATTAATTTGTCCCTACTTTCCATAAAGGAGATAGGGATTGATAAGGATTGACACAAGTTGAGTGCATTCGAGAAACTGGTGATCGGACTAACATTCCATTCCACTTGCTTAAAAGGATTTAAAGAGTAAGTCATGAGATCTGAAACTCTAGTGTTGATGTAATTCTCATAAAGTTTTTATTTGCCAAGGATCTAAAAAGGGGAATTAATCAAAACAGATTTCCTATTACCTATTCTCCACTTTAAATTAGAACCGACTAGATCAGAGCAGCTCAAAATTCCTTTCCAAATCTAGGAAGTATTATGTGGTTGTTTGACTGCTGTTGAGGAAGATAAATCCAGGTATTTCCTCCGAAGAGTGGAATAATAGGGGAATTATCTTCAACATTAATAAGCCTCCAGATTTGTTTGGCCAACAAAGCTTGATTAACTAAATTCATTCTTCTAAGTCTCAGACCTCCTTCTTTAATGTTTCTAAAAGGAGTGTTTTGGTTACAAAGATACCTCCGCTTTTTTCCATCTGATAACCCCCAAAAGAAATCAATTATTTGAAGATTAATCTTATCGCATATTGTTTGAGGGGTTTTGAAGCAAGGTAGCATGTAGATATTAAAGGCTAAAAGAACTGACTTAAACAATGCTAATCTAGAGGCATGTGAAAGAAGTGAGATTTTCCAGGTTGCTAATCTTTTATTAATAGCTCCCTGAACTTCATTATAAACCAAATTCCTGTCTCTGTATGAAAATACCCATGTTCCTAAATATTTACCAAGATAGCTAGAGACAGGAATACCAAGCTGTAAACTCCATGTCTTCTTTTTATCATTATAATGTGCTTGGACTGAATATAAGAGTCAATTTTTGCAAATTGATTTCTTGTGTAGATAATACACAATAGTATTTTATAACCCCTTGAATGGCAGTGATTGAACTATCCGTGCATTCAAAAAATATAATGGAATCATCAGCGTAAAGTAGATGTGAAATAGGTATTACAGATCCGCGGATTTTAATTCCATTCCAATTTCCGTTCCTTTCTTGGTCCAAAATAAGACAACATAGAACATTTGCTGTAATAATATAGAGGTAAGGAGATAAGGGATCACCTTGGCAAATACCTGTAGTAGGGCAGATATGATTAGATAAGCTTCCATTAAAGAGAAAATGATATTCCATTCTAGAAATACACGCAAGGATTAAATTAATCCATTTTACTGGGAAATTTATTCTTTTCAAAGTAGCTGTAGTGAAATCCCATGATAGCTTATCAAAAGCTTTGGAAAAATCAATCTTGATTGCCCCTAATTTAATTCTTCTCTTGGACGCATGGTGAATCTGGTGCATTAAGTCCGCTGCTAAGAGAATATTATCTGAGATCAATCTACCCTTCAGAAAATCATTTTGATGAGGATGAATCGGTTTATGCAAATTACTCTTCAACCTGCTGCAGAGGATCTTGGAAAAAATCTTATATATTGTATTACATAAACTTAATAGGCCTGAGATCTTTGAAACTCCGAATTCTACCCGACTTATATGAATTAAAGTTATAAAGGTTCTAGTCACAGCCGAAAGTATATGCTCCAAATGCCAAATATGTTAAACCATTTCTTGTAAATCATCACATACCAAATTCCAATTCTTTTGATAAAAAAAGCATGAAAACCATCTGAACCTTCTTTTGGGAGTCCAAAAATAACACTCTTAATTTCCTGAAGCGATGGAGGTGTAAGAAGGCTGATGCTTTCCATGTCCGTAAGAGATGGTGTATTCACATGGTTCGGCTGATGAAGAATTTGCAAGTGATTCAAAGAGTTATGATGAAAGTATAATTCATGAAAGTGGTGCCATGTAAGGTTTTGAATTTCCTTTTGATCATCAGTCCAAGTATTATCATTTTTCATGATGTAATGCAAAAAATTTGAACTTCCCTTCTTGAGACCATCGAATGAAAAATTTTGGCATTTCTTTCTCCTTCTACAGACCATTTCAATCTGGTTCTTTGCTTCCAATAGCTATGCTGGCAGTTATATAAGGATTCAAGGTGATGCTTCTTGTTAAAAAAAGTCTCAAGGACCATAAGATCACTTGAATTGGAAAGGAGATTTGAAATATCCAATATTTCCTTTTCTAGGATTTTAATTCTTCTAGGGATATTTCCAATTGAGTTCTTGCTCCAAGAATATAGTGATGAAAGAGTTTTGGCAAGCTTAGCGTGGACCTAAAAAGATGGAGATCCTGAAATAGAAGACACCCAACATGACGAATGATCCCAAAACAATCTTCAAAGTGATGCCACTGAGGCTCAAAACGTTTGATTATAGCCTTTTTATGAGCAGGAGAAGTGGTGGAGAAGATGAGTGGGGAATAATCAGATGCAGCAATATGGAGATTTTGAACATGAGAGAAAGGCATTCTGCCATAAGCTGTTGCAAAGTGCTAGATCAATTTTCTCTCTTACGATTTTGTCAACTTTCCTGTTATTAGTCAAAGTGAAACTTAGACCAACTTGGTGTACAAGTAATAATTGATTTACTTTGAGACATTCTTGGAATTGTGCACTGCCACTTGTTGAAGGATTGGAATTGATTTTGTCAGATGGGGCCAAAACTTGGTTATAGTCACCAATTAATAACCAAGGGATATTGATATGTTGATTGACTGAAGAAATACAATCCCAGAGTTGATATCTATAGCAAAGAGAAGGAGGAGGACCATGAACAGAAGTCACTAAGCTTTCATTACTGGGGAAGGATTGCCTAACTTTACAGTAGATGATATGCTTGGAAGTATAAAGAACATCAACATCATAATCACTCGTCCAAGCCGCAAAATTCCCCCCCCCCTTATTTACTGCATCCGTACCAAAACTAGTCTTAAAGTAATTAAAAGATAATGCAGATGAGGTTGCTAGGTAGCTGATCTTAGTTTCAAATAAATAGAGAAAATCAGGCTTGCGAACTTTGACTAGCTCCTGAAGCCTATAAACTGTCGTGACCTTATCAAGACCACGACAGTTCCAGCTGATCACCTTCATGGCTCTTTTGGAAGCTTCTTTTTGGCCGCTTGCTTAGCCATTTTGTTGTTGCTGGAGGAGCAGACAATCTTGAGCTTCTTGTTGACAAGATCTACAGTCCAATTTGCATTGATCTGTCTTTTCCTGATTGGAGAAGACATACTAGGAACCAAAGATGATGAAGTTGTCGAGATGGTTGGATTATGAATTGCTAGGGGAATTGGATTGTTTGCCAGAGATGGTTCGGGGCTTTTTTGGAGTATAGGGTATGGAATGGTGTAGTTTCATTGGGTAGGTTATTTGTAGCAACAGAAATTTTGATGGAGCCAGAGGAGATAATTTTGATTTTTTTAGAGCTGGATGATTTTTTTTTTTCAAATCCCTAGGGGATTGGACGGCTTGGGTTGGTCAAGGAGACTGGCAATTATGTAGGAGTTAGATGAATTATCCAGGTCGGGAGTCTTAAATGTTGACTTTAGATTTGCAAGGAAAGGTGGAAGCAGTGTTATGTTAATGGTATGTTAATGGGAGATGGAGATATGTTTGAGGTTAAGCCAATGGAAAGATTTAAATTAGCATCTAGGTAAGTTGTAGAGGAAAAAAAAAAACACAGCCCATCTTGGAAAAGCAACTTGACTCATGGGTGAGTAGGCAAAAAGTCCTTGCATATGAGTGAAATAATAAAGTCTGTTGCTACTATGAAGGACCAAAGCTAGAGCCAGAAGAGAGGAGGGATAGATACACCAACTGTAGCCCGGCCTATCATAGCCTTGCAAAAAAAAAAAAAAAGACGGAAGCCGTCCAAGGGCCTGTCAAATTCCTCACAGAGTTTGATCCACATATGAATCAGATTGCTTGGCATAGACGGCTTTGTCGATGTAGCTACCCATCTGAAATTCTGGACTTTAGGACAGCTACCCATTTATTCGATCCTGCTTCAAAATCCTTGCCCCCTATCTCATGTTAAGAAATGAAACCTTGGTCTTGGATTTGGTAAGGGAAAAAAATCATACTATGCCATCATGATACCTAGAACATAGGTAAACCAAATCTCTTATCAAGGATCCCGTGACGGACTTAGACGGAAAGAAGATTTTTTTTTTTTCGTCTCTAGCTCTAGGGAGTTGGGACCTAGACGTATTTATAAGTAAATGTATTCCATTGCTTGCATTTCATTAATACGGGCTCGTCTCTGGGCAAGAATCAAATAGTTATTATAATGTATGTAATACAATCTGATTGCTTACTGCTATAACAACAATGAAATGTCAAGATAATTTAAACAACAAACTCAATAATTGCGTCAAAGGTTTCAGATCAAAATTTCTTTAAGACACACTTGAATCGTACAAGCACATTGAACAACAGCATACTGAGCCATTCAGAAAGTAGCATGTGATGCATGGTTGCTGATACTCGTCCATGCATCAAGGTCACGCAACCACCTTTCTTCCAGGGTAAAATCCTGTAAGATCAAAACTTCTTTCCCTCCTTTCTTGTCAAATATACAAAATTTTCATCTTTGTTTTATAGTTTTCTACACTGTAAATAATCATCAGAAAAGTGAAAAATTGTAAGGTTGAATCAGCTGCTATATCTTCCTTCAGAGATTCAAGTAGCTGCTGGAATGTGAGACTTGGCGCGAATCTTATCAATTCAGAATGTTGTAAAATTGGAGAAAAGGTGCATCAATCTATCCAGAGTTCGAGGGTAAAAGATTCTAGCAAACAGATAGCAAGGTCGTTTCGACCCATTCCAAACGCATGGTGTGATCATCACTGATCTCTGCAAGGCGTATAAGGTTCAAAACTAGTAGTATCATGACATTGCTTTCGCAAAAGCCGAAACATTATCACTGCACTGAGAATCGAGGCTTGTACCTTTGAATCACTCGTATAATGTACACTTTCATCCATCGACTGCAGTGAATGAGATTATATCTTTAGATGAAGAGAGGGAAGAAAGTGACAATTTAAACACTGGAATCCAAAGTATCAAATAAACTTTCTGAATCTCTCTCTCTCTCTCTCTCTATATATATATATATATATAAAATATTTCTCTCTCACATTGAGTGACATGCCATATAAAACCAGTGGAAGAATAGAAAAATAGCGAGGCTCTAGTCACATACCGATATGGCATTCAGAAGCTTAGAAGTAACATCCTGAACCTTGAATAATCTGGGGTGCCACTTTCCCTCAGACCAATCTACGTATGTTACTGACCAGTTTGCTATTCCACTTGGATCAAACATCTGAGCGCAAACCAAATGAATTGGCAAGGAGACTGACATTTTATCGTTGCAGAAGAATAAGAAGAGATTAGTGCACTGACGTTAAAAAATGTTGGCAAGTAATGCTCACTGGCATAGCAGTTTCGTCCGTTCATTTTTGGCTGCAAAAGTTTTAGAACAACGAAAACAGTAGGATGTTTGTCAAATAAGCTGCCAAATTTCATGCTTCTTCCTAAAAACTTCATCATATATTTGTTAGTAAAATAGTACCCTGCAATGAAACTTGAACTTTGTGAGGTAAAGATTGTCAGCCAGGATCATTATAGCATGCTGCCGTTTCATTGAAAACCACTGCACCACAAACGTGAAAGACAGTTCAATTGCCCTACTTTAAGTACTGAACTGCCATATCGTCTGCCAAAACAATTTGTGAAAGCACGGAACTCTCATGCAGTTTTTTAGATATTTGCAATAAGTGCCTTATGCTCTATGGACATGAATATGCTCTTGATACTTGAGATTAATAATATTTGCATGGTCACTCTAAAAGGTACAATGCAGAGCATGGAGTGAGGTCATTGGATAAAGAAATCATAGACACAGGTAATCAGGAGACCAAGCAATGAAATGGCATGTCACTGGAAGCATATGATCCCGGTACTCATCATTTGTAAACATCATACCTGTGACCCCTTTCGAAAATTTTTCATCTCTACTTCAGGCAACATATGCTCTATGTACCTGCCATTTCCATGAGGACCAGGGTCCACAAAACTGTTTTTGAGGGGAAGTAAGGAAGACAAATAAAGAAAGATTAGGTCAAATTTTCACCAAAAAGCTCTGCAGCGACAAATATTTCTGACAAATTTAACATAACTTCCATCAACTTTAACAATAGAAGTTGCTTTTAAGTTGCCTTACCATTCAATAAAGCTGACATTTGCTAACAAGAAGTAATTGTACACAAAGTCAAAGCTACGCACCGGTATACAACTGAAACAAAATTTCAAAATATAATTAACCAAATTGAGTCTTTAAACAAGCACAGGTAAACAAAAACAACTAAATAACTAAAAACCTGTCCGATAGCAAAACAAAATGTTGGTTATCAGGATCTGAAAGTGCATTTGCCAAAAGTCTCCTTTCTGCTTCAACCGTGGAAATTGTTCCCCAACCTACCTGTTAGGATTTTAAAGTAGGTTTTAAGACTTAGATTCTTGCCTTCTTTTTCATAAACCATTCACAGCTAAGTGTCATGAAATCAAGTACTAAAGAAAGTTATCACTAGATTAGAGGACAATCTGCAAGTTCCCCCCCCCCCCCCCGCATTTGTAACGCGGTTCTTGATCCCGAAACAATGCCTAAAATTATTTTTAAAAAATGTGAGGGTATCTAGCATTAGCATTTGAGACCTCAACAATGAATTTCACAAAAATTCCATTTACACTATTACAAGAACATCACAATAGTTATACGACAATGCCACATATTCAACCAAGTGTCATTGCATACATTAAGATCTATAACAGCCAGATTTTTCATATCCCTTGAATGCCGAGATTCATTTCAGATGACAGCAACCACAACTAGTTACTTTGAATTGTCACAGAAGGAACAAGTAACTTGTATAGTCAAAGCATATGCTATTCCCCATACCGGTTTACTATGAATTTCTCTACCAACAAAATAGCGGCTCTTATGTATTGGCTTTTCCTTCGATGTGTGCACATAAACAGAGAATTTGCCTTCGTGACCCTGCAGTTTGTTGTTACTAGAATTCAAATAAGTAGTAGGACTTAAACATTCCTCTATATCATTCAAATGAAAGGAGTTGCAAAATGAAGCCATGTTTTACCCAAAAAAAGAAATTCACCTTAGAATAAATCCACTTTAACCATCAGTAACACCATACACCATTTTGAGATAAGTATTTTCTATGCTAAATTTCACCATATAAACTTGATTTATCATGTCATCGCATCTGAACAATATGAGGCAAACATAACACAAGGAAAATTGGGGAGATACAAGGAAAATAGAGGCACATCCTCTTAAAAGGTAAAAAGATCTCGTTGATTCATAGCTAGGTGCTTTTCTTTAATAATTAACTAGTAATTAAATTATTGCAGCTTATGACTTGATCATACAAATTAATCATTCAATGTGAAATAAAAACCATGGAGAAACAAACAGAAAGAATCTTTCTCCACCTATAGATGATAGAATCAGATTCTGTCCATCACTCATTTAAGTGAGAATAAGTTTCTCGCAAATTTCCAGGTTATAAACTCATGGTCAATCAGTCAGTGGCTTTGTGCCACAAGAATCATAATGCTTCAAGACTCTAGTTAATCCCGAGACACCAGTCATAGCCACCCATAACACATCCCCTTTTCTGAAGAAAGCTCTCGTCTTCTTACACATATCTGTTACTGTAACAATAGCAACACAAAGAACCAGACAGCTTTTACTTGTCCATTCATTTGTGGCTTATTTAAAATCCATCCCAGAATCCAAAAAGAACAACGTAACACAATTACTTTTCAAGATAAGATGACTTCAATTCAATCCTCCAAAAAAAAAAAAAATTTGCCGCAGCCTTATATGCATAAGCCTAAGACTACTCTGAAAACCTGAATACACATCTAATACCATAAAAAATGGTACAGATAAAATGAAGTAAAGTCAGGAAATGAAAGATAGAATCATGCTCGTGAAGGTAAACAAGAAAGCAAAGATTATGAAACAAGAATGCCGTACTTCAAAGAATGTGTGCCAGAGCTTCTCAAACGGCAATGGACCTGGAGTCATAAACAAAAAGGCAACCTTGGGGTTCTTGGTTTCAATAGGTGAAATCTTCAGAATTTCCTCATTAACAACCCGAGATTCAATCTCATAATCAGTTATTTGAGGAAAAGCATTCGGAGGCGTATCATTGGATAGATAAATATAGGCAGCAACAAGGAAAATGATCACTAAACAAATTGTTACGATAGTCCTAGAATGCCTCCTTAAAAGCAACCGATTTCTTGCCCCCACCATGATCAGAATTGAGAAGCTTTCTTACACCTTACAGCCATGCATTTACTTTCTTCATCCAAGTTGAGGACACCTTGGAACCTTCCCCCTATCATATTAATGCCGACATACTATCATTATTCCTAAGGGAAAAAAAAAAAAGAGAAAAGAAAAGGCCATGAATAATTTATATCAATTACTAGAAAGATGAAATAAATACAAAGCTTCAGGAACTGGTTTTGGTCGCTGAACAAATGTAATTATCAATCACTTAGCAGTTACAGGAAGGGAAGAGTGGCGTACAAAATCATCAGTTCATTAATAATACATCATAATTTCAAGATTTAATTATGGACGTGATGCGTTTGTTACATATTCCAGACGCGGCATTGTTACCAGACAATTGTTATTGCGATAAGGTACGTTAGCCGTGATTTGAAACTTGAAGCATCTCGATCAACAAAGCGATGAAGATCTATGAACAACAAAAAAATGACACTGACAACTGAAACTCATTACATTACTTTTTTTTTTTTTTTTTTAAGAAACTCATTACATTCTACTTCAGGCTTTGGCCTGCCTTATCTATTCAAAAAAAAAAGAAAAGAAAAGAAACTCATTACATTACTCTTTTTTTTTTTTTTAAGAAACTCATTACATTACTCTTTTTTTATGTGTGAATAAAAACCCATTACATTACTGATTATGCGTACAAGCGTGGCATTTCGCAAACACAATTGATTCATTATCAACAATTACGGACAATCGAAATCCAAATCCCAACGCCGTTCAGGAATATTAGTACCTCTAACCCAATGCAGGGGATCCAAAAAAATTGCGATATCAAGGAACTCACAATGATGAAGATCCAGAAAGTATGTTTGATCGTGGTTTTTGAAAAGAAGCGTCGTTGTGTCTTTGGTCGTTCATATGCTGACTCAAATTTGCCAAAAGAAACGAAGACGGGGGAGCAAAAGCCGGTTCTTTTGCCACGTCACATAGCAATATCGTCCCTGTATATTTATGTACCTATCATAGGGGAGAGGAGAATAAGTTCTAGCATTTTTTTTTTTTTTTTTACAAATAACAACTTCTGTAACCGTAACTACATAATAGTAACTTCAAGTGGTTGGCCAAAGACAATAAAACAAAGTCTGATTAACCAAAAAATAATAATAAAAGAGTGGAGTCTGTTGGGATATAATATGGGAGTAAAAAATGGGACGAAAGATGAAAAATGATATTCAAAATTTCACCAAACAAATTAAAAATAAGAACAGTAAATTTTTTTTCCTCAACTTTATCTCAATTGTTAGGGTTTGTTAGGGTTAAGGTATATTTGTATTCTTAAATTTTTTTTATGGAGCGCTAGACACTCTAAATAATTTTGCTCTTGAACTAGTTTTTTTAAGAGCAAAAAGTTTTGTCTGTTAAACAATCATTAACTTTACTATTTTTTTGTTGACGTGGCAAATGCATCTTACACGCAAAGACAGGCAAAACTTTGACCATATTCTTTAGTATTAATTTATCCTAAATTTTTTTCAAGAACACTAAGCACCCTAAAGTATTGTTTTAAAAACGTAAGGTGCCTTGAAGTATTGATAAAATAAAATTTAATAAATATTATTAAAATATTTTAATATTTAATAATTTAAATATTATCATTTATAAATATTTATCCAAAATTTATAAAATATTTTTTGAATATTAATAGCTCAAACTATTTTTTGAAAAATTCATAGATGACTTGTAATATTTTATATATCGATCATATTTTTAATATGTATTGAGTTCTTTAAATTTTTTAGGTTATTCTTTGTAATTTTTTTAATCAACTAACGATTTTCTTTTAAAATATTATGTCACTCAATTTAATATTTTAATATTTTTTATATTTTACAATTTTGTATTGAAAATAAAGAGAATGAGCCTCCAAATTAACGGAGAGATTTTTTCCCTCATCTCTTCATTAATCTCTTGTTAAGTAACTTTTTGTAACACATTAATGAAACAGGTAATATCTTTCAAATAAGTATTTTTATTGGCATATTGTTGGTCCTGATCTGTCATTTTTTTAATTTTACTCTTAAAATTACAGTGTGCAAAGAGTATTAAATTTGAGTAGTGTAATATTTTAGTGAAAGATTATTAATTGACAAAACAAAATACAGAGAATGACTTCAAAATTTAAGGAACTTAACTAACATTAAAAATATGGGTAAAATTTAACCCGCACAAAAGGTACAACAATCTAGGCAATGTCTTAAAGACATGATTGATATATAAAAAATAATAAATTATTTATAAATTTATGAATAAATTGGTTTGAACTGTTAATATTTTAAAATTTTATAAAATACCAAAAAATAATGAAAAATTCCTCATGATTCTGTTCTTGCAATTAAAGTCTCATTTTCAGTTTAAAAAATTAAAAAAAAGATGAAATAAAAAAAATTAAGTGAAGAAATTTCCTTTGATCCCTTTCCAGCAAATTAGGTTGACAGTTGCTGAAAATGCTCTCTGTTAATGTCAAAGATGCTAATCTCTTTTATTTGATTTTCAAATCCTTCGTGATAAAAAAATATTGGAAAGTGCTTGGAAATCATAATAATGATGGTCAAATAAAAATAAAAGAAAATTTTGATTTGGAAAATTGTGTCATTGTGGAGAGAAATCCTAGCTTATATTTATAAAAGAGAGGGTTAAGGAGACAATGGAGAGAGAGGCAGAGGGAAAAAATAAAAAATCATACTATGCTGAAGACTTGGTTTCCTCATTCATACTAGGTTTATCAGTGGCGTGGAAGAAATATGATGAATGTATATTTTTTGGGTGCTTCCATTATTTTCCAGTCTATCATCTGGTTTCTGTTTTTTGCTTCCATTTATTTTTTGGATGTTTGTTTTATCATGTCAATGCATGGTCATTCTTATTTGACACCATCATACGTTGCTTGAAAAATGGAAGACTGAATCCCCCCCCTCTCTCTCTCTCATAATGATACAGTAGTCCAGGATAAAATGCCATATAGACAAAATATGCGTAGCATCTATTTCATCCACGAAGAACTTGGTGTCCAAGTCATCGTCCTCATCCTTTGACTATGAAAATATATGGTAGTCATGGTCTTCATCTACGTTCAATTAAGGGACATTTAAATTCAAACAAACCATAAAAACATTCATTGAATGTGTAACTGGATGTGCACGCGAATCATAAAAACAACTACTCCTGATTTTGAAAATTAAAAATACCTGCTTTCTCATTGTCACCAATTTTCAAATTTTATTTTTTGGTTTAATTTTACTTTCAAAGTTATAGTACGTTTTCGATGAAAGCGGGTATGGTAAGTGATAAGTGTCATGGTAATATAGAGAGAGAGTAGCACATCTTCGGTGAAGAATGAAAATAATTTTTAATTAAGCATTTATTTTTGGGAAAGGGAGTAGCGAACCTTTTCTTTTAAATGGACAGTATTAATAATTAATAAATTAAGAAAAAGAGTGAAATTAAATAAAAGAATATCTTAATCCAATTTTTTATTTTCACATACAATTATTAAAATTAACCACTTTATTTAAACTGTATGATGCAATTGTTTTCTCTTACATTTAAATACAAATGGAGTATATAAAATGATTAATGTTAGTTCTCAATAATTTACTTTCCCATTTCAGTCCACAGTTAACAGTGGCCTCGTTAATAATAGCTAATGGGGCGAACGGGAAAGGAATGCCCAATCCAGATCAAATTAATCATCGTGCTGACTGTGATAGTGAGATAAAATGTAGCGACGAAAAAGATTTTACGTCATTAAACGTTGACAACATTATTGCAAAACGTTTTCTTCAGTCCATTTCAGCTCTGAACTACATCCAACACATTGGTGGAGTTCAGTCGGATTTTAAATCAAGATCGCGTCAAGTTTAATCAAGCAATACAAACAGAAATGAATGAGAAGGACGATTACAAGGGGGTCTAGCCAGGCCCCACTTTGGGAATATCGTAGTGCTCACTTAGATTGGCCAGATACAGATTGAATTCCTGAATCCGATCACGATGTGACTTGCCTGCCATTTTTGCCAGCCTTTGTAGCTCCAGTTTTTCAGTCTGCTGGAGAAATCGCCTCTCAGCTGGTGTTAGAGCATCATCAAATGAAGCAGCTTGATCATTGCTACCATCTTTATCAGCCTCAACCATGCTGGATAATGTAATTCCGCCTAACAGCCTCCAAAGTGAAGAAAATAACATTAGCAAAATATGTTGTTAACCAGGACAAACAAAACTCATGCAGAAGGCAACTGACTTAGAACGCGATGCTCATGAGCTGAGGTCAAATATTCTTTAGAGCAATCCACATTGTCAGATTTCGTTTTTTTCGCATCAACTGTTTGGATCATGGATTCAATAATGGAAGTCGCTGTATAAGGCACACAGAGATGGACCTTCTGGATGGATTATGACTCAATTTCACACAAACTTCATTTCATATACGCAAAATAATTTAGAACAGGAGTGACTAAAATAACTGTTCAACCAACAAAAACCCGATTACCCCCATATTGAAAGGTGATAGTTGAAGCCATGTGGCCATAGGCAGCATTGCACTATCATCTGAAAGTATGCTTATATCTGTGGCATGGTGCACGAACAAAAGAAAAGAATGCCTCTTTCCTGACTTGTTTTTCCTCACAGACCCGCGAATAGTAACCCACGATCTAATTTTTGTAAACTTGTTAAGATCATAAAGACGAATTTAGTATTGAAATATTTGCTCATAAAAATTCAAAAAAAGACTATGAAGTCTGGAAGAGACAGCAGCTGCAACAATAGAAGATAACATCAGACAGCAGAAGAAATTATATCAAATTAACCGAAGAATAGTAGCTGCAATGCATCTAAATTTGTGGTCCCAATATTACAAGATTAAATCAAAAGATATCCCCAGTTATGACGATTCAACTCCAAAGATTCACTCCTGAAACTGAATTGGAAAGGGGAGATACACAAGCCAAGTAATACAAATAAAAGAACAACCCATATAAAGTCCCCATATTAAGTCCATAAGCTATCGAACCCCCATCAACAATGCAGAAATGACCTTACATTCCCTACTTCATAGGAATAAATAAAATCACACAAAAAATCAAATATGTCTCACGTACTAAAATTCAATAGAATGAGGTCTGCATCATGCGATGAATAAAAAATTGGACAATCTTTCAATGTTACTTTGCCCTTGAGTTAAAGTAAAGTATATCATTTGTTTAAGGTTTAGTTTGATTTTAAATTTTTCTCCCCCGCACACATATCCAGAAAAATTTAAAAATGGGGGCAAAAATTTTACTTAAGATAAATATTAAATTTTTTAAAAAACATAATTTTAAATATTTATTAAATTAAATTAGGGAATTTTTTTTAAATAATTATCAGAGAATAAGGCATAAAGCATAAAATTGTAATGATGAATTAGATAAAACTATCTAATATAAATAAAATTTAACCACTTTTGTGTAGTAGAGGCTTTTTTGTGATAAATTTTTTTTTATTTAAACAAATAAAATTATTTTTTATAATTATTATTCCTTCATTCTCAAACTATATCATTATTTGAAATTATAACATATAAGTTAGATTTGAGTTAAATTTTTAGAGAGATAAGTGAAACTTTGAAGGAGGGAAATGAATTTTTTTCCTTAAATAAGGGCCAGTTGAATTTTTTTCTGAAGGGGCAAAGAAAATTTTTGGATCATTTCATACAATTTTTTTTCTGCAAAGTAGGTCCGTCCCTGCCGCACACAATGTCTATGTTGATTTAAAAGGCCAAAGAAATCAAACTTGTTCGACTTAACAGAATTCCAGCCTTGCACGCTCATGTTGCAAATCAATGGGCAAATGCATCCCCCACAACTCATAGCTCAGTTGCCTTAAGATATCTGGCACCATTGATTGCTAATAACCCCAGCCCTCTTCTAAACGGTAATGGAGACGTTATCTTATCGCTTCCCCACACAACACAAAAAATGTTACCTTATTGAATGAAGCAACACGACAAAATCTATGTCAAAAAACAGAAGCCACAAGATAACATCACAAATACATTCATTTTTCCATGAATTGCAACATCAGTAGTGTTACTCAGCTAAGACAATTCCCAGATTCACAGCTTCTCGTGAAATAGGTTGCGTGAACAGTCTTCAACTAACTATCCAAAACATTAAGAAAGCAAACAATATAATCTTTTCTCAGTGAATTGCAGCATCAGCATGAGAATCCCAACATTCAAATCCGCTCGCGAAACAGAATATCTTAACACCCTCAACCAACAAGCAATTAAAGAAAGCAAACATTAGGGAACACAAAAACAACTCTTCCACCATTTTTAATACCAAACAATGGTAACAAAAATGAAAAATAATTTAAAAAGAAAGATCCGAACCAGGATTTATTTGAGCTTGACCCTGTTCAAACTTTGTATTCAATTCCCATAGCATCTGAATTAAGTAATTCTGAAAGACAGAAAAGGAGCATCATGCTCACCTTGATTGATCAGAGCCAACTGATTGTGACTCTTACCGCGCTGCTTCTTCTTCTTCTTCTTAATCCCACCGGCCTTGACATCCAATGCTTTGCCCTTCAGCTTCAATTTTCCAATGACGACGTTATCGTAGGCCGACATCTGTCCGACCGGATCCTATCTCGAGCTTTGGAACGTTTCGGTTACAAATCTAACCGCAAAACTCTGGCAATCGTCTTCCAACGAATAATCACCGAGTATTCTGAGAACCATTAATATCATCTGACAGGGATGAGAGCGTGCAAAAGCTAGCAAATAAAAATAATCTTACAAAGCAAGGTCCGATTGGATGTGCGTTAGTTTTCTGAGCTGGCGAACGTTCTGGAAACAAGTCGAATCCTCTTTTACCCGCCAATGTAAAGAGTCCGCTGGTTGCTGGCCTAACAGAGGCCCGCCCAATCTCGTTGAAGGATTTTTCAGGCCTTATCAAACCTCATTTCAAGTTAATTCAATATTAATCACCATCACCAATCAACATATCAATATCAAGTCAAAAAAAAAATAACATAAATAAAATTTATAAAAATGTATACTATTTATGAATAATAAACAGTACATCGGTATTTTTCATCGGTGTTTTGCAAAACCAATTTAAATTAGCAGCATATAAAGGTATTTTTACATGAGAGCTTGAGAACCCAAAAATTAGATATAAATCCATACAACTTTAATTTATAGAAAAAAAAAGAAACATCGAACCAATGATGATGAGGTTTTAGGCAAGAATTCGAAGTTATCTAAATTTTTGGCTTCAGATCGAACTTACCCAATCAAATGAAAGAATCAATGAGAACTTGAATGCTTGAGAATCAACAATGATTCGTGAGAGTAAATAATGATGCCATCCAAAGGCTTGATTCAATCTAAGGAATTATAGTTGAAGATTTGGGAATTTAAGGTAGCCCTTGGTTGAAGATTCTATTCCCCCGACAATGTCATTCAAGCTTTATTAAAGATTTGAGAATTTTATCTCGCTTCAATTTGAGATTAAATCATTAGATTCTCTTCATCATTAGAGTTATGTATGTTAAAAGCTTTTTCACCCTCGATGTCTTGGGTGAGGTTTCCTTCTCTAGGCACGACAATGGAGTGTTTGAGGTCTTTAGCAGTGGAGGTCTTGATCGATCATAAGAGGGGGCGCTTACTAGAGAAGAAGAAGCGGGAAAAGATGATTGAAAAAGATAAGAGGCCATGTGCTTCTTTTTATAATATTTTTAAAATGTTAAGTATTTGCCACCTGTAAGTCAAGTCAAACAAACATGAATAAATGGTGAACTTTAACGGCAGAATAGCATTGTTTTTTAAAAAAGTTTAAAATATTAAAAGCCTTAAAAAAAAATTCATGATATTTTTACCTTTTTATTCTAAAAAAATTACCATCTAGACGCTAACGAGAATAAAGGCATTGTTTGTAACTTTTATTTATATAATTGAAATTTATTTCTTTTTTGCCAATCATGAATTTCAAAAATTTTGAATTTTCTTTCAAAGAGCAGAAGTAAGGAAACATTGACCATGAATGTAGCATGGTGGGGGATTCCAGTGTGTGTTTAGTTTTTAATTTATTAAAAGCTTATTTAATGAAAATTTATTTAGTAAAAGTTAGTTCGATGAAAATTAATTGTTGTAATAAAATTTATATTTAGATGCATTTTTAAAAAATTAATTTAATATACTGAAAATTATTTATATTATAATAATAAAATGTACCTTAAAATGTACAATTATCAGAAAAGACATAATTGATGATGATTTATATTTTTTATTATACAAACGTAATATATTTTAAAAATGTGATAAAGATTTTAAATAACGTAAAATTTAATTTATGATACTAAAAACTTGATTTTTAATTATTTATACTTTGTTAATTTATAATTTTAAAAAATGTGATAAAAATTTATAATTTTTATTATACATTAATATTAAAAATTAACATAATTAATTATTTAATTTATAATGTTAAAAACTCAATACCTAATTATTAAAATAATTAAATTTTTAATAAATTAATTATGTTTTAAATAAAATAATAAAAAATTAAACTTAAAATAAGATGAATAAATAGTTATATTTTTTATATTACTTTCACCTATTATTTAAACGTGATTTTTTATAAAATATTTTATTTAAATAACTTTCAGCGTTTGAAAATAAAATCTTACTTTTCGAATGCGAAAATAAGATTTCCAAACGGACCCGTTGCATATTGAGCCTCCACTTAGTTCTCTCCCCGTGGTTATGGCACGACGACGAAGAGACATTGAGCTGTTTGATGAGCCGGGTGCGTTAATTTTAAGCTTGTGATTGCCAGTTTCCGTGTCTGCAAAGTGGAAATCCCGAATAGGGGACCCACACCTTAATTTCGAAGTTTCTTCCCTTTCTTTGCTTCCCACTCCACCGTACACGCGCGCGCACACATTTCGCTCAATTGACAACAGGAGTGAAATCGAAGCATTTCGCATCCACCTTCAAGCTTCTTTTATCAGGTTCGTCTCCTCCATCTGATCCTTCCTTCTTATCTGGCGCCATATTCTTTCTCATTCTTTTCTTTTCTCTTTAATGTTCTTCCCTTTCGAGTCTTGATTTTTCGCCTTCATTCCTTGATGAGTGGAAGAAAGTTTTTAATTAACGCAGCATTAATTTATTGATTCCCCCCCCCCTTCATTCTTGCGATGGTGAGCCCAAAAGGCTTGTAGTCTTGAACTTCTATGGTTGTCTTTTTCCGGTAGCTTTCGACTCAGGAAGTGTTTTCTTTACGTTGCTTTTTCTGCAGTGGATCGTTTTAGTTTCTCGGAGCTGTTGACTTAGGGAGGAAGGGTGTTGAACTTGTAGATATACAGCTTGAGTAGATTGACGAACAGGATAGGGTGGTATCGGTTATTGTTCCTACTATATTTCCCCCGTTAAATAGAAATTTGCGTAGTGACGTGATGAATGCCCGGATTAAGTAGACCCGAGGCATTTTCGCTTTTGTTTTCATGCTATAATGACTACGGATTCGGTGATCTGGTCTGTTATGACTTACACATGTTCTAGGAAGTCAGAGAGATGGCTGATGACAAAGGAATTGGAAAAGGCGAAAAGGAAGAGACTATGTCTGCTGCCACTGGGAATATAAAGAAGCACAAGGGACTTCTCTCCAGAATTTGGAATTTAATATTTAGATTACATGGGGATGATTTTGAAAAGAGACTAGAATGCATTTCTAAAGAAGAAGCTGTTGTTCTGGCGAGGATGAGTAGGAGATCTCGATCTTGGAGGCGAACAACTCGGCATCTCATTATATTTTCTGTTATATTTGAGGTGTGTTCTCCCCATCCCCTTCGCCACTCACCTCCAAAAAAAAAAAAAAAAACGTGCTGTACATTATAAGTGAGCAAGATTGACATATAATTCAGATTTTCTTACTTTGTCCACCATTTGTGGAATTTTATTGCGCTCTGGAGAGAAGCTTTTACTGTTCCTGAAGCAACTAAGAATATCAAAGGTTTTTAAAGTTTACACTATTCTGGGAACGTGTTAACATTATCCTACAGTGAATTTTATAAAAGAAATTTCAGGATTTTGCTTGATTTGAATTTCAATTTTCAGGTAATTGCCGTAAGTTATGCTACAATGACAACAAGATCAAAAGATATAAATTGGAAGACGAGGGTAATCCGGATTTTGCCAATGTTTCTTTTGCCTGCTGTATCAACTGCTGCCTATTCAACATTTATCAGCTTCACCAGAATGTGTGAGTGTCAAAAAGTTTACAATTAAATTATAATATGTGTTGGAGCTCGTCTATTTTGTTAAAAAAACACAAGTTCCACCAGATATACGCTCTTCATCTTTTACTTTGATTGAAATTATTTGTGTTCCTAAATGTGTTGTGCAGTGGTAACCCAAATCAACAGAATGACTGAGTTGCTGAAATAATTCTCAAACAGACTGATTGTAATGAGAACAACATCTGAATTTATCGCTTTCACTTAAATCACTGTCAATTATTCTGATTTCTATTCGATGTTATGCTAGGAAAGCTTTAAAAGTTAGCTTTCTGCCTATATATTGACATCTCAAGTTGAGGAAATGTCTTCGAAGTACCATGTCAGTTCTCAACAAGAATTTCAGAGGGGAGAAAAATGCTTGAAGTGCATTTATATTAACAGCTTGGTTAAAGAAATCTGGCACATTCATTCATAAGTTATGCAAAAGCTTTGTTTCACAACTGTGATGATTATCACTTCATTCCAATATAATAGTGCAGATTCTGGAGAGGATGCTTGTGTTAAGATATAGATATGCGAACAAGATTTCTTTAGTTTTTGAAATTTAGTATGATTTGTGTTTTACAGGTGATCGGAGGGACCAGAAAATTCTTGAAAGACTTCGTGCTGAAAGGCAAGCTAAAATTGATGAACTCAAAGAGAAGACAAATTACTACCTTACGCAACAGCTCATTCAGGTGATTGTCTGTAGCAACTCTCGTTATGTAGCTGTTATCTGCTTAGCCTTTTGTCCATCATCATCATCTTAACTATCTTTGGGCTTGTATTCATTTCATGTTACTGAAAATCAAAATCATAAGTAGCAGGACAGAATATTATTTAATTTTTCCAGCCCACTGGAGTTCAATGGCAGCTCCTAAATTTTAATTAGGCTGAAATTTGTTCACATATGACTTTCTTGGCCCAATGTTTTCTTGTTTTCTTGTTGAAAGAATCAATCCTTGGGAGAGGATCTTATGTCTGATTAGCGATAAAATGAATGAAACTGTATGTCGCCTTTTGTTTTTTTTTTTGGGAGCTAGGCCAAGGGCTCTTCTGGAGGTGCTTTGTTGGTAAGCAAGTTTTTGAGGGTATATTATAGCTACTGTTTTACTCTTTTTCTTTTTAGAGATTTTTTTTATTTTAATGCAAGGCCACGGTAATAACCATTGAAAAAGACCAACTTCAGGTTATGTTAGAAGTTATAATGCTTTTACAATCTATGTGGGGATTGTCAAATAAAATAATATCAAAATGCTCGCTTGAAGTAAGTAAAATAAACTGAGTGTTGCCAATTATCTGATTCAAGTCACAATCTTGATATATCACTGTGAACTAAGCCTAAGGCTGTGCTGTGAGGTGCTTTGTTGGAAGGTAACTTTTGAGGATATCTGAGCAATTGCTTTACTAGTTTGTTTTCCTTGGTTGTGGTCTACACAGAAATACGACCCAGACCCAGCAGCAAAGGCAGCGGCTGCAACGGTTTTGGCTTCTAAATTGAGTGCTGATTCAGGAATCAAAGTGCATGTTGGAGATGAATCTAAGCATAGTGGACCTACAGGGAAGAGCAAGGATCTTGAACTTGTGGAATCCAGTGGACTTAGAAGTCGCAAACAAGTGATTTCTAGATCCACTAGTCCTGAGACAACTACACCTATGCATTTTGATAAACAATTTGTTGGTTCTGGAAGAATTAATCAATCTCAAATTTCTGAGTACAATCGGCTTGTAACTGTTGTTGAACGTCACCAACCTCAAATTTCAACCTCACATGACGGGGGATGGTTTGCTCAAATTGTGGCATTGCTTGTGGGTGAGGATCCAAGGCAGTCTTTTGCTCTTATATGTGTTAACTGCCATATGCATAATGGTGAGTGGATTGGATTGGATATTTCTAGCTCCTCTAGTATCAAGGTTATTTTGGTGGATCAAAGCTGTTATGCTTGTTATTTGATGTGGACCAATGTGTATTTATGAATACCGTGGCAGGAAGTGTGCAATAAGCTCCTTGTTTCTCTACAGGTCTTGCTCGGAAGGCTGATTTCCCGTATATTACTTACTATTGCCGGCACTGTCACACCCTGAACAAACCAAAGCAATTGGATGAGCGCATCTCTGGTTTCAGCTCCCAAAATATTGGGTGTCCAAAAGTTGACGAGGCAGCTCAAAATGCTAGCACTTCTACAGGTGACAGCATAATTGCGAACAACAGTCTTGTAAATGCTAGCCTTGAGATGGAGGAAGTATCCAAAAAACCTAGTTTGGAGGAGAAAGTTGGTTGAAAGGTATATCTTTGTCTGTGAATTGGACTGTTGGTTTTAGATGCCTAACATCTTACGTCTTATTTGTAGGCATAAGGAGAGCAGCTTTGTGGTTGTTTTCCCTGGGTTGGTTTTGTAACCTCAACGGGACTGAGATATAGCTTTGAAACTCGGGGTTATGATGCATGAGTTACGTTACATGCATAGCTTGTAAGTTATGGCAATTTTGGCATTTTCGGGATTTTTAGCCTGGTGTTCTGAATGCCTGACTGCACACTTTTATTCCGGGATTGCACACGAAATATTTTATAAAACTAAAATATTTCTTCTTTTATAGTTGAGTCCTTGAGCTTAAATTTAATAGTTTACACGTCATTCCTACTTGCCCCCAAGGATAACCTCGAAAAGCTGCTGCTGATGGTTCTGAATGTTGCCAAACCCTGATTCTATGATCAAAACTCTCAACTCCAGCCCTTTCTCCTGTGAGTTAAATAGGACTGCTGATTTTCTTGCAAAAATAGGATCCGAACAAATCAGAAGTGGCAGATCCTTCCCTGTCCCACGGGAGATCTTCAAGGACTCGCTCAACTTGGAATCTTGCCGGTACCACGGTTCCCATGGTTTGTGTAATACTTTTTTGTTTGAGTTTTGCCAAAACAAAACATAAGGCAAAAAACAACTGCAATGAAAAAAAAAAAAAATCTCAAGTAGACTAGTAAGATCCTTGCAACCAAACCAACGTCCGAGAAGATGAATCTTGACGTTATCATCGATTTAAATTTTAAGTTGTGCACATTTGAAGCCTTGACATATAATCATCTCCCTAAATTCGCTAAACGTCTTTGTCAAAGCACTGACACTTGAAAAGGATAAATCTTAAATTTTGAAGAACCTTGTCATAATAATTACATGATTATTACCAGAAATTCAAAATCTTCATATCAATTTCATAATTAATATTATTTAAATTTCTAGAATAATCTTTTATTAGAATTACTGGAGCAATTAAATGCTCTTAAAAAACAACTCTTCTATAAAGTCAAAGTGGGATTATAAGATACACACTCAGTCGGTATTCTACAACAAAAGCATTCTAACAGCCCAAGTTAGCCAACAATTGACAGGCACGGGAAGGCGGAAAATGAATAATATAACTAAATAGCAGCATGATTGCAAAATTCAGTCAAACTAGATTTTTGCATGGACTGGAGCGCGGGACGGGTTGAACATTGAGCTATAGTAATTCCGCAAGGTCTATCAGAGACCATTCAACCTCGTCTTCTAAACATGCTCTTCTGAACATGCATGCCACCCAGGGTGGTGTGTGGTTGCTAATACAAATACCATAGTTGCTAATACAAATACCATAGTTGAAGTACGAGTTCCCCGCTTTCCCGGGGGGGGGGTTAAAAAAAAAAGAAAATCAGAAACAAACTTTCGACAGAGGCTGTTGAAAGCGATAAGGATTTTTTTTTTTTTTCTTTTGTGGGGGAGGGTGGTGTGGTTGGCATTTGCATCTACCCAGCACTTTCAAGATCTCTCGTGGCACCACAGAAACGATTTCAATCCCTCAGCCGTATTTCACCATGTCCGTCAATCGTCACTTTCATGCCCCTTACTATATCACTAACGTATGAATCTTAGTACCTGGCTCTCTTGGAGTAATCTCTATAACTCTCCCTCTCATAACCTCCTTTTCCCCGATCTCTGTCTTGCCTATCCTGTGTTTCATCCATTCGGTGCTTCCTTTCTCCCCGGTCAACATCATCCCTGCGATGCTTCCTTTTTTCACGATCATCCTCATCCCTTCTGCGCTTCCTTTCTTCACGATCATCCTCATCCCATCGGTGCTTCCTTTCTTCTCGATCATCCTCATGCCTTTCGCGCTTCCTTTCTTTTCGACCATCCTCATCCCTTATGCGCTTCCTCTCTCCACGACCATCCTCATCCCTTCTGACCTTCCTCTCTCCACGATCATCCTCATCCCTCCCATGCTTTCTTTCTCCACCATCATCCTCATTCTTTCTGTGCCTCCTTTCTCTAACATCATCTTCATCCCTTTGGTGCTTCCTTTCTCCATGATCATTCTCATCCCTTCTGTATTTCGTTTCTCCATGATCATCGTCGTCATCATCCCTCCTGTATTTTCTCACTCCACAATCATCTTCATCCCTTGCATATTTTTTCTCTCCCAAATCATCATTCTGTTTATGCCTTCTTATTTCTTGATCATCACCATTTCTAAAACGGGATTCACTATCCCTACCATACTTTCTGCCTCTATGCTCAACAGGTTCACCATCATACCCTCTAAGCCTAACTGATTTTGAGGAATCACCTCTTTCATCTTTGTGACTAAACATCCTAGATTTTGATTCAGACTCAGACTTGCAAAACTTCCCATGATACTCATGCTCTGCATCTACTGCAGAATACCGTTCCCCCCCACCTCTGTCTCCATCAAGCTTGCTCTTGCTTCTCATCATTTCTTGGCTTCCACTATTTGATCCCTCCGCCAAATTTCTCTCCTCTTTCATACCGTAAAATTTTCTCAATGAGTTCAAGCCATCAGCATTTGGGCCATTTTTTCCTTTTCCCTCAAGATCTTCAGCTTCAAATCTGAATTTTTTCTCTTTCACATCATATCCTTTAACATTTGGTCGAGAAATTCTATCATATACCTCCTCACTGCATCCATTTCTTTTTCTTGAAACCGTTTCTCTCTTTCTGGAATCCTTGTATCTATTATCAGTAGAACCACTATCTGAATCACTGTCACTGCTGCTGTCACTTACATCAGTAGAAGAGAATGATCCCCTCGCTGAGTCTGTATCAGGGTCATCATCAGAATCATGCCTTTTCCTCGGCTTCTGTTTTCCATGTACACTTTTTTTCTTCTCCTCCACCACATCATCATCATCTGAGTCATGCCTCCTATGAACCATTTTAAATTTGTCCTTTCTTTTCCTCACATCATCACTACTGTCAGAATCTGAACCAGAACCAGAATCAGAACTTGAATCATCACTTTCCCTACCCTTGCCACTCTTGTGACGATTACATATCTTCTTTGAAACCACCTCCACATTCTTAGCATCACTGTCAGAGTCATATTCATCATCAATCTCCCTTGTTCCTTTAGGATGCCTCCTTCTACCACTCTTCACCATTTCCCCGCTGCTATCTGAATCAGATGAACCATCCTTTTGCTTTCTCTTTTGACCGTCACCCTTCTTGATTTGCCTTGAGTCTTTGATGCCCTTCTTATCATCATTTTCAACTTTTTGACCTTCAATCATTTTCTCCTTCCGAGTGAAATCTCTATCCAAAAAAGCATGTTCACGTCTCAGATTATGCTTGTCATCCCCATCAGTACCATTTTTTCGTTCAGCCTGTGGTGCATCATCATTTCCTTCTACATTCATTTCATTGACTTCAGCTGAAGTTATGCCAAGAGCAGCTTTCAAAGTTTCCATTTGCTTTTCCTTTCTAGCAGCAATTTGGTGGGTCTGTGTGTCAGAAAACCTGGCAGCCAAAAAAAAAAGGGTAACAGCTGAGAGCACTGACCATAATATATCAGGCAATTTATCAACATTAAGTCATTCACACTTATTTATCATGAATTCCTAATTTAAATGTTAAAGCAATCATTCAAACTGTGTCTTTTTTAAGGAGGAAATGATTGATTACCATATTAAGGGTAAACAACAATAACAAGCTTTATCCCACTAGGTGGGATTGCTTATATAGATTGCACAATGCTATTGTATTCTATCATCAGCCAAGCTTTTAGGAATATTATTAACTAAGAAGTCCAGTTTAACACCTATCACAAGTGTTCTCTTTAATCTTTCTCTATCCCTCTTTACTGGGCTCAAAATTATCCATTCCACTCTCCTCATTGGTGTTCCCCACAGCCTTCTCTGTACATGTGAAGGGTATACAAAAGCATAAAATCCATCCAAACAAACCCTGTTTTGTGTTGAATATATGCCTCCACATCACTAAACCTCCAAAGACTAGATTACAGCCAAGACCATGGAAGAATATTATACACTGGGACAACCATCCAAATAATTTGTTGGCACCAAAAATAGAACTCGACCATCGACCAGTTAGTTAACTTAAAGCCACAAGCATCTAACAGAGATTTAAAAGCAAAAGAAAATATCAATTATACATTCAACTAACAAAAAAGCTGAATTGAAGAGCTACATTAAAGAGGCCAAAGAGCATCCAAACAATAATTCATAATCACTTAGCAAGAAAAGAATAATTGTTTCAAAAACATATCAGTGAATCTTAATAATGAGACAGAAATTACTTTTTCTCTGCAATTGACACCGGTATAGGTCCATCGCTTTCCTGAGTATCTGCTTCCGCTTCCAATTTCTTCCGGGCCTCATCCAGTTTCTCAGCAATCTCAGTATCAGTGTAACCCTGATCAATGAGTTTATCTTCGAGGATCACCAGCTTGAGCTGAATCTGACGTTTGCGGTCATGCTCAAGGATCTCTTTATTAGGCTTCCTAGTAACACCTGCAGTACCCTGATCAGCCTCATACCCGCGGGTGTTTTCAGCAACTTTGCTAATCTTGGGCTTGACAAAGAACTTGTTGCTCTGTATGTATCCATTCGTACCAGAACCCCTAGGGGTCTGTAACCCTATTCCGTTGTACATATCTGTTGCTCGAGTAAAACCTCTGCAATTAAAACAGAATTAAAAAAAGGAGATAAGAAACCCTAATTTCAAAGGCAACTATAGATCTGAAAGCATAACCCTAGACGAAACAAATCATCGCCAAACAAAATCACATTTTACAAAGTCCGCCAGTTTCTAATTCAATAATCAAACTAAAATCTACACTGAAGAAGAAAAGAAAATAAACGATAAAAAGCGAACACTCACTTCAGATAATCGTGTTCGCCGTCCTTCTCGCCTCGAGTGAAGGAGGGAAGAGAAAGATGAATAGCAAGCCGCGTCGCTCTGTTGAAAGAGGGAAAAGAAAGATAAATACCAGGCTGCACCGATAATAATCAATTAAGCGGTGATTTGAGAACAACTAATTTATCTAATCTCATCATTATTAAATTAAGAAAACGACTAATTTATCTAATCTAATTATTTTTAAATTTAAAAATATATTTAATCATTTAATTTCACACCATATTTAATTTTAGTGTGAGTTTAGTTTTTCATTCATATATAACAAAAGTTTATTTAAGAGCCCAATTATTTATTGTATTTTACAAAAGTACACTGTAAATATAATTTGAATGTAATTTTTAGTGTTGTCCAAACAGAAGTTTAATACTTCTATTTTATAAAATATCTTTTTAATTTTTTAATCTTAACAATATTATCAAACCTTTAAGTATTAACAAAATAATTTTAAATATTAACATATTAAATTTAATTTTTCTTGAAATAACAATGAAACAAAAAATAATCATTTAAAATAAATAGTATTAAGGTTAGAAAATTGAAAAATTATTTTATAAAATTAAATGATCAAATTGACTGGCCTTCATGTAATTATATTTAATATATAAATTTCAATTAAGCTAATTATTTTTTGAAATACCATTTAATCCAATTTGAAATTTAAAGATAATTTCAATTCAATCTATTTATTTAAATGTCAGTCAATTTTCTGAATAATTTGATTTGATAGTTTTATGTTTCGAAATCATACTAAATCTCGTAATAATAAGACCGATTCAATTAGTTTCAATTTAGAAGATCAATTCAATTATACTAAATACAAACCAATTAGCTTTAAAATTTTCAGATTTAGCCATTCAAAGTTAAACGTAATTCAAAAAAATTCAAATTTTGGTGAACATTTCAATGATTTGGACTTATTTTTTGTTTTTACATTGCAAAATGCAGCATTTAACCTTCAAAATGTCATATTTATATTTAAATATTACTTTCTCTGTTAAAAAATATAAGGCATTATTAATCAAATCTTATTCTTAATAAAATAGTTACTTATCTTTAAATTAATACTATCCTTTTATATTTATCCCTATGTAATAAAAAATTTTACTCTAAAATAAATATAAAATGATTATTTAATAAAGATATTTTTTTTAAAAAAAAAGACAATATTTATATTTTAAAATACTAAAAATACCTTACATGTTTTTAAGATCCAATCTCTTAAAAAACTTTTTACATTTTTAAACAGAAGGAGTAAATGCTAATTCAATTTCACATCACATCCAGGGAAAAACTAAGGAAATGAAGTTATCAGTCATCATAATTTTGATAAAAAAATTAGCACGAGAAAGGCCCAAATCAAGAAGGAACATGACTTTTGGGAATAAGATTTTCTTCTTATTTATCAAAAGGATGCTGACACATCTATTTTAGAAATTGGATAGCTTGGATTTAATTAATTCCTCAAGGTGCATTAAACACTTGAGGTATAAGGTCTTTAATGTAGTTTACTATTCGCAAGAATTGTTAAATCTAAGTTATAAATAGATTTTCATTTGAAAAAGTTCAATAAATTTTTCCTACCCTAATTTCCAAATGACTTCACCTGTTTCTTCTGCCGCTGCACCTTCTTCCACTTCCACTGATAGTCTGCCAGATTCTCTAACAACTGTCCGTAACACAGTAAACCAATTAGGCAGTCTCGTAATATATGAACTGAGTTGATATTATCCATCTTAAATAATCATTCCCCAAAACTCCATCTAGGTTGCACCAATATAACTTTTCACACTGAGAGCAGAATCCCATCTTTCTAAATTATTTTGAAGAATTGGGGACCAGTTCAGAACTACTTATGAATCTTTATCCTACTTACCTTACCATGTATCCACTAAGACAATTGCCCTCATACACATCCATAAATCCTATTTACATTCAGAGAGTGATGACAGTAAGATCTTTAAAATGTCTTACCCTACTTTGAGAAAGGCTAGACAAAACCCAGTCCTAAAACCACCTCCACCACCACGAACAGAACCATCTTCAGTCCAAAGACCTATCCATACCAAACTTCAAGAACTCCAAGCTTCACCATCTTTTACAAAACCTCCAGAAACTTGTCCAAAGAAGCCCTTAAAAAAATCAACACCTCCTACTTCACCAAAACAAGTCAAAATATTCATATTAACTAAGATAAAAATTGATTCGAGTGACCTTTTCCACCTGGGGCAAAAACGGTCATCTCCCCATGCTACCATGACAACTATTTACTCGTCCGTGGGCAGCCAAACATGAAGGAGAAAATTGAAACTGAAAAAACGCAAAAGAGATAAGAGACCTTCATCTAACGGAAACTATGAAGCTATATTACAATTCAATAACGCACTGGCCTACAGAATTTGTCTCAAACATCTTATTGTACAATAAGAATTAAGGGCATTATCCGGCGGACCACAAAAAATCAGTATTCATTCAACTATGGTGGAAGATAGAACTTTGAGGGTGAACTATCAGAAAGCCCCACGATGTAACATTCGCTTTGGATTGTCTGAAACTTGTAAAGAAAGCCACTAAAGGCCAACCCAGTAGGAGCGTCCACTGCTATTGTGAATTGGAGACGGAGAGGGAGATGTAACGCACCACTCATACCAAACCTGATTCAGATTATGAAGTGACAAGTCAATGCGATGAAATGGAAATAGTTTCAAGGATCATGGTTGAGAGGATTAAATACGGAACAACGTATGCTCAACACCAACCTTTGTTGAACCACAACAGCGCCAGAAATGTACTTCTAAAGTAGCTCCTGGTTGCACATGTACGGGATCCCTTAATGGGAAAAATATTGCAAACCTGCAAATAATTTGAAGATGCCGCTTATAGACAAATAAAATAAATAAATAAACCCTTGCATTCATCATCCACGATGACATCATGAAAAACACTACAGTAGGCTTATCATTTCACTTCAGGAAAGTATTCTTTTACAAGTTAAGAATTAAGAAGCACAAGACATACTTGGACATCTGAAAGTACATAACAAGGTAAAAAAGATATTTAGACAAAATCTACATCTGCCAGTGTCAATCAACAGATCATCTTGCAAAATGTTAGTGGTATTAACGTGTTCCCAGAAGATCTAGCATTTATTTCTACACAAACCCCGTTCTCACTATAATGATAACAATGACGATTCCAGAAAGTATTCATAGCTGAAGAATGCAATTGCAAATATTATTGGTCAAACAGCTGCTAGAACCCACAGGACACGTGTCAGCAACTAAATTTGAACACGATGGGCCTGCGAAGTCTTCTTAGCCCTAATATAAGCCATCAAATATCTTTTACTTACACAAATAATTATCAGAGGCTTCTACTTCATAATGAATAATAAATTTTTAAAAAATGCTAAAATTATAGCCTAATTTATCTCAGATCAACGTTAATTTAATTGTTCATTTCATTTCCAACAGCTAAGTTTCCAATTGGCAACTAGTGACAGCCAATTCCTGCCTTGCATGTAATAAACTGCGTAGTATGATTTCAAGTTTAATAGAGAAATAAAACGGAAACAAAGATCAATACCAGCTGAACATATTTGGCGTTGCTGTTGAGGGTTCAATTCCAAGATGCACATCATTGTAAAGTGTAGCATCAAAGTAGCCAGCAAACCCTACAGTCAAGGTGTAAATATATGTCAACTTCAAAGAAGGACCATCTCATACTGTAACAAAATAGAAATTCAAAAAAAGATACTAAACATATGTAAAGAATTAACCATAAGCTAACCATGGGCAACAACACACTAAACTTTATGGAAAATTTGTCATTATGTGTCATTTTATAATCTCCACACTAAAATGCCTAATTCTTTACTTTAGAAGCCAAAGGGAAAACACGGACAAGAATCCTATGTTATTCTTTTGTGCATGCTATCAGAGTGTACAAGAACAACCAACTCTTGTTCCCTGACAACAGTAACAGGCCCTCGTTTTGTTTATGACAAAACAGACACCAGCACACACAGAATAAGAATAAAATCCAAAAACATGTGTTACGTTTGGATGCATGAGAATCTGAATTTGAACCAAATCCACTATTTGAATCCATACAAATTTATGGATTTCAAATCCAAATCCATATTTTATTATAATTCCTTTGTAATTTCAAATCCCTCCTACAGCCTAATTATTTGAAATGTAAGCTCCTCTAACCCCCTTATCTCTTTCCATTTTCATTTCTCATTTCCGGTTTTCATTGTCTTTGAATTTGAAAATTTTTATACCATCAAAACAAAAAAGATTTTAAATACATGAATTTTAAATCTAAAATCTAAACCCACTGCGTAAAACCAAATTTCTTTATTTTTTTCATGGCACAACACTTATAAGCCCATACTCCCTCTCAAGACATTCAGAGATGATAAAATAAAAAGATATTTAGGGTAAAATCAAACTTCTTAAGTATTTCTATGAATGAATAATTCCCACGAAGACTATGATACAATCTATGTGACATTGCTCTATATATATATATATACTGGATACAAACTACACAATATGCAGTGTCTGAATTTCTAAAATCTGAGGATATACGCATGGGATATATAAATATATATAAAGACATATATAAAATTATTTACATATAAATCAACTTGTTAAAAGAAAAAATAGGGTATTGAATATTCTAAAAATTATAGTATAGATGTTAAAACAAGGAACATGAGTGAAAAAAAATGTCAATAAAAACTAGGAAATAAAACCTTTGTTCTTTCTTCCTAATACAAAAACATCATTGGACCAAAAAAATTTAGAAGCATCACATTATCACAAACACCCATCAGACCTTATTCCTGTCTCACCTTTAAAACCATGAAGGATCCTATTTTGATGTCAAAATTTGAAGAGAGTGCACGTAGCAGTACAGATGGGTTTGTATCCACAAATATGAAGTGCATATTGTATCATATTCCCTCCGGACCACAAGATAAGTTGTTTTTCAGAAGCTTTGTTGGGTCCAAAATATAGAGCATTGGGGTGTTATATATTTTTATCCAATTACAACTTTACTTTATTGAGTAATTAATGAGTGTTTTAAATAAGTTAAATGCTATATTTATAACACTCAAACATGATTGGACAGATGTGGAAATTTTTAGAAAATCAAGATTTTAACCTACTTTCTTTTATAAACATAAATTAGTTAACAATGACTTATATTGTAGTTTGGAAGGAGTATATCAAATACAAGCACATGAAGTATCAGCCTTTATAGCCTACATTAGGAGAAAAAATGCACTACATACCATGAACCGTTGCTGATCCAGTGTCATTAGGTATCACAAACTGCAACTTCTTATATCGATGGTTGCTTTCCATATCAGAGGGTTTTGGATGAGTAAAAGTAAAAACCTGTCCAAGATAGAAAAATCACAAAAATAAGGACCAACTACTACCCATAATCTTTTTAGCCATGAAAGAGAACTCTAATTCAAATGTATACTAAAAAAATAATTAGCAAAGGCATACATGGACCTCAAACAGAACAGTGTAAAGATCGGAATTGTGAATGAATTGAATCAAATGAAAGAAAAGAAGGGTGCATGAAGAGCCACTCACAGGTTGAGATGGCGCAAGCCTGGCTACATTATGTAATTTCACAACATATGCTGTTTCAAAGTGTGCTATATCTTTATGTGCCTTAACCTGAAAAGTAACCATAACCATGTTAAATAAAATCTTAATTAAATGTAAGCTTGACAGTGAAAGTACAAGTGATATACATCATTGTATAACTTTGAAGCTGTCACTGGTTGGAGGAAACTTGTGTACCTGAAAGGAGTTGTCAACAATGATTAATATAATAACTTAACAGAAACAAAAAATATCAAAGAAAAAGTCCTCAGGCATTAAGCTGGTTGGCTAATAATATCCATATGAAATTAAAGTGGCCTTTTTGACACTGATCTAAAATCATAGGCTACCAAAATAAATAAAATGCTTAAAAGCACTCAAGCAACAAATGGCTTTCTAGATATTTCACGTAATGCCAACATAATAGGACTAAAGACTATTTGGCTATAATCAGCTTCACATGTTCTTCGATTCTAACATTATCCAGCAGGAGTTTACCATGCCATTCAATCAAATAACAACAACAATGAGCGTGCGTCTGTGTGCACTTGCAGAAGGATTTACTCACGAAGATGGTATTGAAATTCCATCTTGCTTCAGAAACCTCTGGGCTCCATCAAGGCACTCAGGAGACAGCTCATTGTCACCAAAAGAACCTAGCAATTCGCTTACCTAGATCAAGACATGGAGCATTAAGGCACCACATTAGAAATAATATAATTCAAACATATGACCAAAAGAGATATGCTAAGATACCAATATGTCAGCCTGTTCAGGGGCATTCCAGAAGCGCATGTCGCTTGAGACTATGGTAACTGTATCTTCCCAGCCCTCTAACCTAATCAAACTCTGTCGTTGAAAAAAAAAAAAAAACAATGCCATCTCTCAGATAAAAATGATTCAAACATTTAGGAGCTTGGAAACTTCTTCTACAAGCTATAGATAACAATTCCATTAACAATTTGTAAATTAATAATAATAATAAAGGGGAGAGAAGAAAATCAATTTATTGAAACACTATAAACAACAATATGCAAGAGTTCATCAATGTTCATCATTAGAAACTTAAATACACTTAAAAAATAATGATCCACAAAATATAAAAACAGCAAAATTCTTTTAACTTACAGTGCTAGAATAGCAAGTTAATAATGCGTTAAATTGTTCAGAATGCAAACTTTATAAACTTTTCATCCATGATTTTAAAAAGGAAAAAATGATGATATTCTTTTACACACACATCAAACACTTACATGTTGAAGAGTGATGATCAAAACTAGAATCAATCACTGCTATTATAAGGAAAAAGAAGATTAACAAACGCGTTCGAATTTAGTTAACAAAATAAGGAGAAAAAAAATTAGTATATGGGAAAATAAATGTTTGAAATCACCATAAACGAAAGGGGAGAAAAAACTACATTAAGTGTAACAACTGCATTTGGATTCTTTTCCACCGCATATACTTTTAGCTTCCTCCCAGTCTCTTCAGCTGCCTACATATGAAGATAAAAGTCACCCGATAAATAGGATAATACCCAACCATAAATTCAACACAAAGTCTAAGACACCATATCCAAAAATTCATGACATAGAAAGTAGAAAAACACACCTCTATTGATGCCCGAACAAGAGGCCCACGCCCAGCACCAACAACCATCAATACCTAACCATAGGAATTCCAAAAACCATTATATCTGCCAAAAAATGATTGCACACAATCCAGAGAAATGCATGTTTAACTTGGTGTTAAAAAATAACACTGAAATAATCAACATGCACAAAGAATCACCAGAAATCTTACAGTGGTAATTTCAGACACCTTTTCATCAGGAACCCTGTCCAGCAATGCTTTACATATAGCTCTTTGATACTACCCAAGAAAAAAAAAATTAATGGTTAGACTAAGATGTAGAATATATCACATGATACGGAAGCAGAGCCACCAGTTACCAAATCCTCTAGCATCAGGTTCCAGGGGACAAACAGGACAGAGGCCTTTTCTTTGCAAACTCTACAATAAGGTAGACAGTTGCCGGCCAAAATCATGGATTTGAACACATACGACAATGCAAATATTAAACAACTAATGTGTGCAGCATAAAATTAACATTGGATAGTCAGGAGTCAAGTCAAACAAGTTTCATGGAAGAAAAAATGCCAACATGTTTCATGGAGGAAAAAGACGCAAGAAAAAAGAGAAGAAAATGAAAGAGGAATTAGGGAAGATCAAAACTCATTAAGCAATAAAATATTTATCTTGCACATGCTGCAAAAATTGGCATGTTTGGTGCGCACCATACTGCACCATCTGAATCCTGCAACACCACATAATGCATGTGGCAACCTTTTCATGCTGCATGATGGACTAGAATGAATTCCTTACTTCCAGGAAATCAATTAATTCATGAAACTGACTTCAAAAACTTGAGTCCAGCTAACATCATGAAAAAAATGGAGGATTGACTTTTAGGGCAGTCAATCATAAAAATCTGCAACAGCAAGTGTGCATTTGAAAACTAGCTTGCAAAATGTGGGCTTGCCTTAAATGCAAAACCAAAAAGCAAGTTCATGGTTGCTTTGGCTCAAAAACAGGGGTTTAGAGGTAGATTTTATTTGCCTCAAATGTGGGTATGTGGAAACCAAACAAAAAAAGTGATAATTCATTTGGCCCTAACATGAGTTCAGTCTTGCAAACAGCAAACCAAACATAGCCTAGGAGTGCAACAGTTACTACAGTCTGGACTATGTTGTTTAAAATGGAGTTCAAGAAACTCATTGCACTAGAGTCCCATCCAATGAACTTGAGGATCCACGTTAACCAATTACAATAGCTTAAAGAATCAGATTTATGTTATTACAGGATGAAAAAAAGATAGAGACTGACAAATATACAGAGACAGATAAACAAAATTGAGATGGATTGAATGCATTACTGCACCTGACTGTATAAAATTGAGAATAGATTGAATGTGTCACTGTACCTGACTGTATTTCACTGTGTCTTTCTCAAATGTTTCATAGGTTTGAGCCTCTAGATTATCCATGAGAGGCTGCACAATTATAATAAAAAGTACCTCATCATTCATCAGAAAACGTTGAAAGATCATGCAGAAACAAAGGCCAAAAACAATTGAAGGGACAGAAAGGGAATGCTTACTTGCAAGGGTGCCTGTAAAAAGTCCCTGTAACCAAGCTGGCATAAGAGACTGAAGGTCAAGAGGAAGATAATAGCAGATAATGCTATGCCTTCATTCAACACTAGGAAAAATAGATACCTCAAAACGTTCTTGCTCAGGAATGGGATCCATTCTTTGGTATAGATAAGCAACATAGTCCAGATACGGCCTCAAAGGATGTCTTTCTGAGGGGAAAAGTCAAAGTTGAATACTCTTGGTCGAAGGACAAATGGTCAAACGTAGATAAATACAACATAACACCAAATAATAGCCTTAATATAATGCATATGGAAACACAGGACCAGTTACATCCACAAAGAAGAAAGAAGGGAGCGGAAAACATGCAAATATAAAAAGTGTAAGTGCTATAGAACAAACATGGTGCTCATAACCACATTCAGACTGAATAAAAGCAATTCAACAGAAAAAGAACTTAAACTAATTTATTGCTAGTCAAAGTATGATATGCAGCATTAAGATGATATGTGTGCGTAGAAATACACAAATAACAGGAACTTACCCACAGCAGCATGAGAAGCATCTGGATCCACACTTGCTCTTGGATGAACTGATTTTCCAGATATAATTATCTGGACAGACATTTCAAGAAAATTTAGTACTTTTTGAAGGGAGGACAGGAGGCTTGAATTTGCCTTGATCAGCAAGTATCTGCTGATAAGGACTATAGTATCCCAAAGAAGAAGAACAAGATCCCAGGAGTGTAAGAATAAGCTCAGACTACAAGGTTATCCACAGAGGAAGTAAATGCTCAACTTGCTATGCCATCCAACAGTGACTACTAACTTGGTAATTGGATAACATAAGATTCAGAGAATTTAGATGGATTACCTGAATAGAATGGTTAAGAAAGCGAGTAATTAGCATCTGGTGGCGCTTTGAGAGGCATGGATAACCCCGAGCATTAGTCAAAAAGCACTGCCAAAAATCCAGTATGATTTCTTATAATTTAAAATCGGAATCAGCAGAATCATAATCTGCATAAGTTGTATAATATACCACAAGGTGTCCTTACATCAGTATTTAATATAGCTGCTCTAACAGGCTCCCCAAACCAGCGTCCAAGTGAGTTTGCCGATGGTAAGGTACTCCTAATAGACAAGAACATTGAGCATATCATGGCCAAAATAATTAATGACATTGGTGCAACTGTACAACAAGCTCAACAAAATTTAGCCAAGTTATGCGATACAAGATCAAGTATAAACTACTATGAATAAAGGGCCTAATGCTGAGCCACTCACACAATATCAAGTGCAATGGACAATTGACTATGATGCTCACAGAGAAGACGAAATGAATTCCAAGTTTCCCAAGAATCAATCTGTAACCCAGGAAGTAAAAAGCTTGATTAGAAATAAGGCTAGCATCATAATTTTCATAGATAAGAAAAACTAAAATATTCAAAGATCAGAAAATGCATCCCCTCAATAGTCTGATCCTCAACAAAATTTACAACCTTTGAAATATTACATGTCAAAAGGACTATTCCATCCCAATACAAGCTAAAAAATATGGTTGTGATATATGTCTAACACGATGCAGGCTGATATATCCTAGGTGTAAATTTAATTTAATTAGATGCTTAGGAATGGCTGTAATGTTGCATCTCTAACAATATAAAAACACCACATGATTAGCAATCATAACGTACTGCACCAAGGATCAATTCATTCAAAAGGCTAAGAAATCTCATGAAAAATCAAGAACAAAAGCCTCCCCAAGCAAACAATAAGTTCAAAATTGATTTTTAAAATCAGAAAAAGGAGAAAGAAGTTGCAATAAATAAAACTAGACAATCATACAAACAGGATTTTAGAATATTTACTCACCAAAGTATCAGAATTGGCGCCCATGGAATCATCATCAGACATAAACAATGGAATCCTAAGAAACAGCTTTATAAAAAAGTTACATAAAATGAGAATTTTTGTAGAGGGAAAATGACATCTAAGAAGGAAAGGCAAACACATCAGCACAAAACTTGAATTAAGAATAGCACCTGCATATGATTTAGGTTCTGCAAGATTTGATTCACACATCTAGCATAATTAGCACAAGATGTTCTCTTGGGAGCTGGAAGAAGGCAAGCCTGCAGAACATCCAAATAAATTAGGAAAAAACCATATGCAACTCACAGCTATAAAACAACAAAAGGCAGTGATAAAGGTAGCCACAACATCAAAATACTAAATGATGTGTGAGAGGCATATACTAGTCCAATGTACATTAATATCCAGGTAAGATTTCATATAAAAAAATGGAATTTGAGTCACATCCTAATTTCCAACAGAGAAGTTAATAGTTTCATATTTTATTTGTTACATACACACATAAGTTTGCAGATTCTAGTACTTCAGAAGTTAAAATACCGAAATCCAATCACAGGGATTCTCAAGTGAAACAATATAATTCACGTATATTTTCATAGGTCAGCAATTTTCACCCCATAATTTGATAGATTATACACAAAGGGTTCACTTGCATCAAGTTCTTAAACAAACAATTCCCCGTGTCATCATTTCCCTTCAGTTCTTCAGTTTATAATTTTAATCAGAATCATACAGTATTTCATTATTGGAAGGAGCCACAATAGCTAACAAGAGGAATAAAACAAGGAAAAGATAATCAAGTCACTTCTGCTGAGAAAATGGTCGCTAATTAAGCATAGCAGAAGTTTCAAGAAGCAAGAGTAAGCATGAGTACATCTGCAGGGCATATTAAGAAATCAAAACTAAGGGCAAGCATCAATTCAAAACTTGCCCCAAATTGGTCATGCCAAAGCTCACCTGTAAAGAGAGATGAGATGCCCAAGCTATTTCTTGTCTGAGGGTGGTTTCAGAGTCCATCCTTAGGGTTTCATCCTCTGAATCCAAATCTATCCATGTGCTAATTTTTCCTGAAGATATAATAAATCATCTTGTAAATTTAACACAATCATGAACTTAACAAGTTTTAGAAGGAGAAAAGAAAAACATGTTATACTTTCAGCACAACAAACAGCTTGTTTCACAAACACACTAATGATCTATTGAAGAGCAACACGGTTTAGAAATAATGCAACAGCCTCCATACTATGAATGCCATTATTTTTTTTTATTACATGACAAACTTTCAGTCTTAGAAACTAGACATGCCTCAAAAGAAACAGCTCTGCTGAACCATCAATCAAAGTAGAATACATCATGATACTAAGTTTAGGAAAAAAAAATAGAAATCCAAGTCAGCAGATCACCATAATCATAGTTGCATGAGGAATACATGACAAGAAACTGAAGAATATATTAAGCAATCGTTAACTTCAGTACAGAAAGCAAAAAGAAAGTGCTCAGAGAATCATGACATTCTGGTTTAACTCATAATCAAAACAAAGCATTAAAATTAGATATTTTGTTGGGATGCACTGTTTGGGCAGCTGCTAAGGGAATCAAGATCAATTAGAGGCCCTGCACAAAGGTGCTTTTTGTAGGCTATTTTTAGGAAGGGAAATTTGATTTAAACAACCAAGGACAAAGCCCCAATATGAAGATCCTAGTTTTTTAAAAAAGAATGAAAGTAGTCACAAGTAAGTTTAAATGCCAGCAACGAAAGCTGATAGAAAATATAGGCAGCTCAAATCCATACCCACTACACGGGTACTCCACTGTGAAGGGCTCAAGACTAAGTCTGATCCAGCAAATGGAGGAACAGCAGAACCCAAACTATCCTTCTGCACTAAGCTTGGCCGATATGCAGGATCCATCTGAATTGCACCATGGAAATATATAAGTCAAAACAGACGGTGAGAAACCAGATATCCATGAATACTTCTTTGACTGCAGCATAAACCCCTCGAAAAATATGCATATCATCGATAATACACACACGTGAGGAAACATAGATACAGCAAAATGCCAGCATGTTCCTTCTCAATTCAATGCCGAAACAGTTAGAAATGCATATTCTACAAAATTTTCCCACAAAAACAATTATCAGTTTCCACCATTTCATGTCGATAATGTTGAAAGTAAAAAGTGAAGGCTAAGAGGGAAAGCATCCGGCACTAACCAAAGGAGCAACAACGAAATCGAATCCCCCGGAAACGAGATGGAGAGTCAGCAAGCGTGGCATGTCATCGCTGAATTCCGTCTCTACACCGCAATACCGGGATTCGGTCTTGTCCCCAGCCCTTTCTCCGAGTGGCATTTTCACCAACTTTCAGGAAGTAGAAGAGCAACAGAGAGAAAATAGATAGAGACCAGAGAAAGTAGAAAAGAAAAGAATTTTGGGGGAAAAATGGACAAGAAAGTGTAATCAAATCTCCACATGTGACCCTCTTGCTACCCGAATCAGTAATGCCAGCCTCACTAACTAGTCGGCCAGCTCGATAGCTAACTAACAGGCATGTGATACAAACAGGAAGAGATCCAACAGTCACAGATGACGGAACGTGTTTGAGAAGCTTGCGTGCTGAGCTCAAGGTGAGGGTGAGACAGAGGGCTTAGGTAGGGCTTTACGGTGGAAAAGAACGCAACGCTACACGCCTACACCCGCCTTCCCTCCGCTGCTCTCACGTCGTTGAATTATAAATAAACTCAGGACTAGGGTTTTGGGTTAACGGGTCGGGTTTGGACCAACCCAGTGAATTTTCCATGTTAGGCTTTGAGGTTCGATTTGAGCAGCCCGAACTGTGCAATAAATTTTGGCATTGAGTGCTGATTAGTAAATTCGTAAAAATATTAGCACGACGCCAACGAAGATACATTACAAGGAATCAATTTTTGTTTTAGTTTTTTACCGAAAGATTTCATTAAAATAAAGGCATTGATTGCATTGAGGATGAATATAGATCATCTAACTTTTTTTGGCTAATTTTCATTCAACTTGGTTAATGACGATGTCAAAAGATGTTAAGTTTATTAACATTTAATAGAGAAAATCGGAAGCATAGTCAGCAAATATCTACCAGACAATATCCAATATTTATGCTAATCATAATTAAAGAATACATTATTGAAAAACCATTACTTGTTATGCTCGATAAAAAAAATCAATCAAATGCCCGAAATATGGTAAAAAGCTAAAGTGTCACGGGTTGGTGGTCAAAAAATACAAAAGGGGTGAAATATTTTGAGGCCACCAAATCCATTCCAGAATCCGATGACCCAATGCTTTAGTATAACTTTAATAGCATTGTTCAAAGTGTACGTGGGACTTTGATGTGCTCAGATTCGGACCAGACAATGCACAGAAACGGTATGAATTGTGAATTGTCACTGGCCCACTTCTACCCATCATATTCGTAGCCCACCCAAGTGGCCAGCTGAGTCAGAGCAACAAGTGTCATGAACCCGAACCTTTCATATGCTTTTCAATATTTTCTTCAGTCTCTATTTCTAACGGCTCAAGAAAGAGCAGGAAATCCTAATTCCGACCATGTGGTTGTTTGGTGGATGGATTAGGACCCGCCTCGGGGATAAGATCAGTAGGGAGGTGGATAAAAAGGTTAATGAAAGCAAACTTAAACGTTAAAGTTTTCGTCTGTTTCTGAGAATACTTTAAAAATCACGTAGGTTCCAGACTCTATATCTCCCACTTCTACAGTCCTAAGCTCTCTTTTAATGTCTGCTTTTTTTAAAAAAAAAAAAAATATATATATATATATGCAATTCTTTATTTAGAAAATACTTCTCATTTTTAATTTAATTTTTCACTTCTAAATTATTTTTTGTTGATCTCTAAAACATTTTTTAATATTACCAAATTTTATATATATGAAAACATCGAATAATTTCAACTAAATTTAAAAAAAAAAAATCAGTGTAATTCACCCCTTTTTATTTATATAAGCTTCAAGGAGGAAACTTAGGAGACTGGGACTGAAAAAAGGAAAAAGGTCCAATGCATATGAGTGGTTTGAGGCTATTTCAGTTTGCGAGGGGCATCTGAAGACCATGGTATGAAGGAAGGTACTTGTCTGAGGAAGGAAACAGTCAGGAAAATTGAAGGCTTCCCACTCGAGCAGTGACGCTTCTGTACCATACGAATCACTAATAATATAATTAATTCGTGGATGTCTCATACATCCATAGTTTTCCATATTTTTTTAAAAAAAAGCCACTACTTTGTTGCGTATGATTGCCTTCCAATTGCACACACCAAAAAGGAGATTCTCCACCATAGCTTCTTTTTCATGTTTCGTTGATCATTCTCTTCTCTTCCCCCCCCCTCCTTTCCTAAAATCCTTCTGCGCCTCTGTCGTATGCTTAAGCTTAACTTCACCAAATTCTCAGTTTACTGCAGCTTCTTGTTCTTCTCCTTCTTCGTGGCTCTTGCTTGGTGCTTTCCCATTAGAATTTATAACTGTATCAGTATATTTTCTTCATCAATAGGTGTTTTCATCCATCATGACGTAACCATCAGCGATCACCAATCAATTCTGAGAAGTTTGATGTATGTCTGAAGCGAACAGACATTTGAGCTGTGCCTTTTAGCCATCCAGCTGCTGATTTCTGGGGCTAATCGTAGAACAAATAGCCAAAAAGCAGATTTGTTGTGGTCTTTGTTGCTGGTTCTCTAAGGCTGAAAAAGATTGATTGAGAAGATGATGAGAGGAGTGAAATTTAGCGGGGTTATTGTCCGTTTGTTGTGTAGTGTGGTGTTGGTGGGGATAGTGAGAGGGATCGGGGTGAATTGGGGGACACAATCAACACACCCTTTGCCAGCACCAACAGTGATGAAAATGCTCAAAGACAACGGAATTCAGAAGGTGAAGCTGTTTGACGCTGACCCAAATACTCTGGATGCTCTCAAGAAGTCAGGGATTCAAGTCATGGTGGGCATTCCAAACGACATGCTCGCTTCACTAGCCAACAACATGCAAGCTGCTGAAAAGTGGGTCTCCAAGAACGTTTCGTCTCACGTCTCTTCTGGTGGAGTAGACATCAGGTAAACTTAAGCCCTTTTTACCAATCTTTAATTCAACCATCACTTCTCTATGCTACAACTTATAGTAAATTTATCCACATGCATGAGCAATATTGGACACATAATAAGAGGTCATGTGACCAAGTTTATTGAAGTATATGTGGGCTTCGGTGAATAATTCAAACATGTTATTCGTTGCTTATCTCAGTTGTTGGCTGATGAGATGGATTTGCATTAACCAGAGAACTTGCTTTAGACATTGCATGACAGCAATGAATAACAGATTGCTGTGGTGTTAAAGCAGTTATTATATGTATTCCAAAAAAAAAAAAAAGCGGTTATTATGGAGTAAACTTTCTGTCCCGCTATAGAGACATTGTAATGTGATTATAGAGTTTGATGTAATGGGGACTTGAAGTTACCAGTTTGGGGTGGTAATAACTAGGAAGTAGGAACACATGTTATGAGTATTTACTGCGTTGCATTGTTAAATCAGATAGTTGGAAAGTATTTATAAACCTGATGTGACCATTTTTTTCAATGTCGATGTTAAAACTTAGACCTGCGAGTGTCTGGCCTTTCTAACTTATTTACTGTTACTTCTAATGATTTTCGCAAGGTATGTTGCCGTGGGAAATGAACCTTTCTTGTCAACATATAACGGCACTTTTGTGTCAACAACTCTTCCAGCTCTTCAAAACGTCCAATCTGCTCTCATCAAATCCGGTTTGGCCAATCAGGTCAAAGTCACTGTCCCTCTGAACGCCGACGTGTATCAGAGTTCATCCGACAAGCCCTCCGATGGGAACTTCCGGCCAGACATCCACGACCTTATGCTGCAGATTGTCAAGTTCTTGAGTGACAATGCAGCCCCATTCACAGTCAACATCTACCCATTCATCAGCCTCTACAAAGACTCAAACTTTCCAGTTGACTACGCCTTCTTCAACGGCTACCAGACCCCCATAAATGACAACGGAAAGATCTATGACAATGTGTTCGATGCCAACCATGACACGCTTGTTTGGGCATTGCAGAAAAATGGGTTCGGAAACTTACCCATAATTGTGGGAGAGATTGGCTGGCCTACGGACGGAGACAGAAATGCAAATCTTCAGTATGCTCAGCGTTTCAACCAAGGTTTCATGTCTCGCTACATTGCAGGAAAAGGGACTCCAATGAGACCTGGCCCTGTAGACGCTTACTTGTTCAGCCTCATAGATGAAGATGATAAGAGCATTCAACCTGGTAATTTTGAACGTCACTGGGGTCTGTTTTACTTCGATGGTCAACCTAAATACCAGCTTAACATTGGATCGTCGGCTAAAGGTTTGGTGGCTGCTAGGGGCGTGCATTATCTGGAGAAGAAGTGGTGTGTGTTGAAGCCTTCAGCGAACCTTAATGATGAGCAACTGGCACCGAGTGTGGCTTATGCTTGTGAGAGAGCAGATTGCACTAGTCTTGGATATGGAACTTCTTGTGGGAATTTAGATACAAAGGGTAATATCTCTTATGCATTTAACAGTTACTACCAGGTACATGACCAGCTTGACAGCGCTTGCAAGTTCCCAGGCCTTTCCGTCATCACCAATCAAGATCCTTCAGTTGGAGATTGCAAGTTCAGAATCATGATCCAGACAGATTCTGCTAACCCGGATAGGAGGATTGGATCTTTCACGATAGTGCTGTTTTTATATTTGCTTTTTGCTATCCTATAATCTAAGCAGCTTCAAGTTTTCATTTTTAGATATATATTTATATATATACACACTTTTTTTTTTTGCACATATATATATGACCATGAAAGGCATGCTTTTCTGAATCCTACTGATCCCCCGACAGAATCCTGTCTTCTGTTTTTGTTGTTTTCTATTATTTTCAAACTCCCAAAGCTGTATGAAAGGCACGTTTGGGTTTTCAATAACACTGTATAGCATAAACTTCAAATTACCCCTCATGAAAGCATAAACTGATGAATGCTTGCTCCAAATGTGGATTTAACAGGACAAAAATCTCAACAAAAAACAACCCTTGACTTGACCATAAGGTGTCTGAGGTGGAAAAACTCTTTACAAACACTATTGCATCATATCATGCTCTAGCAGAATGCTATCATTCTAAATTCAAGCTATAGTTTCCAAGCCACCCACGCCCAACTACACACACCACAGCTTTCTTGGCCAATCAATCAGAATATTCCCAACCAATGCTTCTCTGTTAATACAAGAAGGGCAAAAAAAAAAAAATGATATACTTATCGATATGAAATAAAAAATTTATGACAGGTCAACCCAGAGCTACAGATCCGGTCACTTTCTCAGTTATGTCACAGCCTTCCAAACAAGATATATCTATTAATTGTTTACAAACCTTTTAAAGATCAAAGACGCTCTAGCACTACTTTTTAGGATGTAGTCTCACATTCCTTTCCTTTTGGGAGCCATTTATATATAAACTGGCTGAATGGATGGGATACCGCTTTCAGTTAAATTGACCATTATGCTGTAGCTTGTCAGAGACGAGGACACAACTAAACTGCAGAGACGGTTCAAGTATTTACTGAGGTCTGAGCAGGTGATTGAATACTCACAACCAAGCTATGAAGCTAAGATGTTCCAGCGTCCTTGGTTTGACCGTTTAATTTCACTTGCTGGTCCTATCCACGCATTTCGAGTCATCCATGGCAAATATAGAGCAGGTTGACCAAAAAAGTTCATCCATGTCCCTTGCGTATGATTAGCCTGTCTAACTTTATTATTTTATCTCACCCAAGCCTTATGACATAATCAAACCTACCAGAAGGTAAAGCCTGAAAGAGATTTACATAAGAAGTCATTGAATTCCAGTGCAGAATAAAGGAGTTGGGAACCAACAAATTATAAAATAGTCCAATCACATCATACTTTATCTCAACAATGAGATAAATGAGTGCAAAAGACGAGATAAAATCTGCATCATTCTAGTTTGTGCCAGGATTGTATCAGGTGAATGGTTCAAGAGATAAATTATATTAAAGGCAAGTCCTTGGGTTCATTCAACCATATACCTGGCTGTGAAAAATTATGATGATTTAACTACTTAAAACGCCAGGCTACTGCAAAATTCAAATCATTTTAGCTCAATGAGGTGTTTAAAGTGAATACTGAATAGCAGCATACCATAGTAAAGTTACATAATTCGGGGGTTTGTTTGAAGCTTCCGGATATAGTCTCTAGATCTTATGTCAGCCTGCCATTCAGTTGAAGAAGACTGAGATTGAAATTGAACTGAATGAATAAATGTATCAACTAACTGAATGTGAAAAACTAAATCAGTCGGACGGTGAATAGTTGTAACATGGACATTAGGAAGATGTGATGAAATTCAAAGTATCACTAAGGCAACAGTCTACAAGAGAAGGCTTGGTGATGAACTGCTATGAAATTATCTACAGAATTGTGTGAGTTCAAGAAAACAACTTCGAGGTGAAAAGGACGGTGTCCCTTCACCACAAGTAATTTGTCCGGTAAATCCTAATAACTCAATCAAATAACTGGAAGCAGCTTTTGAACAAGAGAAGAGTCAATAATGACTCTAAAGAGAGAAGAATTTGACAAGGCATAAAAAATTTCCACGTACTTTATCTGCTTGGTGCAATATTATTGTTGTCCTTAGACTGGTAAGATATATGTATTATATCCCTACAATGAATTCAGTAGACTTCTTGTGCTTCCAATTCTCAAGTGGCAAAAAGTTTCACCTGCCTAATGGGCTCGGGCACACGATATTTGGAAGTCATCAGAACAATTGCAATAGCAGTGGGAAGTGATATCCGATGACCAATTGAAACAAATATTGGCTTTACAGATCCCTGTGTAGATCTCACGGCCTGTGTGCATTAAGCATGTAGGATCAAGAGGCCAAACACAAGTTCAAAAATGCTTATATAAATTCAAGCTTGTTTGCATTTATATCAAGCAGACAAAATCAAGATATAAAGTTAAAGTGCAAAAACACATGAAACTCGATTGTGGCAGTTTATGTAATCTTGTTTACCAGAGTGTGTCACGTGTAATACTTTGCAATGGCATATAGAAACCAGCGCGTGATTATTAATATATTATTATATCAAATGACCCCAAGTACCAATAAATTAATGTCTTACCGCCCCCCATATATGCCCGGAACATCCTGCCAAAGTAATAAAATCCTTAGCATGGTTTTCTTCAGCTTCTAGAAGCTGTCTCACTCTAGATTGATTAAGACCATCCACATGATGCAGCTGGAACATATAAAGCTCAGTAAGTATATAGGTACCTACTCAGAACTCCTTAACAAGAAATGCATATATAATTTTCTTTCCATGAGTAAGGGCAGCGAGACCACCATCGTGTAAGTCTATAACATATCAGTATTGTGGTACATGGTGGGACTCAGAAAAGAAATAATTTGGCCTTATTGTAGAAAGAATAAATTACTAATACTATCAGGACTGACATTCTTTCCTATCCCAATTGTTGGCAGATCAGCCACAACTCCAAGATGACAGGCCAGGCCAAAACCTGCAGAAGTTAAGGGTTTAGAGGCTTTCTCTGGGATACCAAAAATATATGAAACTGGGGAAATTATAAACAGTTTATACAAGAAACAGTGCTGGTGTTTCAATTTCTAACTTAACTTCAGAAAAATAACTTACCTCGAGGATGGAGTATTCCATTTCCATCGACAAATAACAACTGTCAACAGTATCAGCATAACCTTTTGTTAAAATGATGAAGAAATTAAGTACAAAAACAATCATACTGGACCTAGAAAGTACGAGGAAGTCCTAAAGCGATCCGTTAGATACAAGGTTTTTGTCGCAGCTACCAGGACTGGTGCCACCAGCAAAGTGAATATGCCAATAATAAAAAGGAAAAAATTTGGGTAGATTTTCCTTGGTAATATCAAGTCCTTCAATGAAAACTTCATAATACCAGGACATCTCTTACAACCAGTTGCCACTCTTTCAAGAAGGTTCCCCAGAATGCCATAATTCTTTTGTTTGCAGCTAGCTAATGAAAACGGATCTAGCTTCAAAAGCACCGGAACCAAATTCATATGAAATTTTACTATGGGATATTCATATCTTTTGTGAAATACACCGCAATCACCTGTGGGTAGAAAGAATTGTTGCTTCTTTTCATTTTCTCCAGAAGCTCTAGAAGAACAGGCGCCTATAAATAGAAAACAATTAGATAAAAGCTCAAATAAATATTTAACGAGAGGTTTTGGAGGCTGAAAGAAACAAATAGAACCTCTCTAAATGCAAGGAAACCGGGAACGTAAGGGACATGAACAGTGACCAAAGAGAAGTCCTCGTAGACAACTTGTAAAGTTGGAAAGTCCAATACTACAAGGGTGCCGCATGCCATTGATGGGTCATCCTTAGAGAAGCTTATATCAACCCCACCTACATAGCTTAACACTTCCAACGCTCCTGGTCTCCTTTCAGAATCAGCTGCCCGTCTGCTTGTGCCAATAGGTGGGTTTAGTTTCCATGTGAAACTATCTTCTATGATCAGTTTAGTCCTGAGAAAATCTTGTGCACTGAAAAGGAAAATCGAAGGGTTCAAAAAACAGAGATATGATTGCTTGCGATTGACTGAAAGATTCTCAAATTTAGATATGGAAAGAGGGGGGAAAAATCACACACGCAATCCAATTCTGGAGATTTTGCGACGAAGCGGATGAATCTGCTGGTACATCTCCGGATTGTTTTTCCATTGCTTGAAATCAGCAATGAACGTCTACCCAACTATTACTGGAGAACAAAAGTCAGCAGCGTCTCGTGATTCTGATTGCTTTGTGCCAATTTTTATTACGATTGAAGAAAAGTATCGGTGCGAGTGCGACTTGACTATTTTGTTTAGATGAACGCAATGGGGAAATAGAGATGGAATAACTCGTAACTCTTTTCTTTAATTCTTAATCTTTTATTACGCAAGACGTCTTTAAAAAATTAAAAGAAAAAAATTAGCACAAATAAAATAACAATAATCAATAATTTGGATGAAAACTTTGAAAACCGTTATTTTCAAGAATTTTCCTGCATTTTTCCCTACTTAAAATAAAACATTTTAATGAAACAAGGGCATCAAGCGGCGTCTCAGTTACAATCATATTTATTTTATATTATTCTTTATCGGTTTTTTTTAAAATAAAAGGAGTTTTTTTTGTTTTTTTGTTGGGGGGGGGGGGTGGGGAACATAACCGCAGGTTTGCACTTCCTAAACTCCACGCGGATGCGTACCTTGATGCTGCTGGAAAGACAGGCTTTCATGGTTTCACCATCATGAATACGTTCTTATAATAACTATTGATAGGCTGAACCTTACAAAAAGCTCGAACACAGTAGAAACTAACAGAATGCATTAACTAAACGATCTATCTACATATTCCCAGGCATTACAAAAAGAAGTTCTCCGATCCCACCTCACAAAAATGCATCAGTTCGTGCCTTCGTGGATCCACATGTACAAAAAAAGCTGTTACATATTCATAAACCCCCAAGTAGCAGAGCAACACTAGATCGCCAAAAAATAAGTCTAAACTCTATACTGCTGATGCACTTGCATTCTTCAAAAACTGTCAATGGACGGAAGGCCAGGGCGTGGACTGCTCTCCACGTCATGCTCTTCATCGTCTGAATCAAGAACAATAGCTGGAAGTGCAGAATTGCGGATGGGTCTCTGTCTCAGTATATTTGTTGTGAGGCCTCTGCTTTCTATCACAGTATGGCTGCGCATTCCGGCTAGCCTCTTGCTCCGGCGAACTCCCACTTGATCAGAAACTGCACACTTCACGTCTGCTTCAAATTTTCCAAATTATCATCAACTCTATAATATCTCGCCATAATTCTCAATTCCATAAATCATGAACCATGGCTCCAATTTATAATATCAGTAAAGCGTAATGTTAAAAGAAAAAAATGGCAAGCATGGTGAAAAGCACTTTCAGAAAGCATTCTGATCCAAAGTCCTGATGACATTGGTAAGTTTATGCATGGAACATGGTCAAAACAGAAATTCTTCAGAGAATGTGCCAGACAACGAAAGGGTGTGCCATGTAATTCTAAGAATATTGTGTATATCTTACCGATAGTTCTACTTAAGAGCGCCTGTTTGCTTTGTTTCCGTTTCAGTGATCTTAGTTTATTCTGCAGAATCGATCAATAGTTCTACTTGACGTTAAATGCCAAACATAGATGAGTGTGTGTCCACCACTGAAAAGTGAAAAATGATCCAACAATTATGAAAAGAATTCCCATTTACCATGTGGATTTTTTCAAGAGTAGGTATAGAGTCTCTCTGAATTTTCTTGCCAATAGCAACTTCGGCTGCAGTATTGCTAGATGAGAATTCTTCCTGCCATTGTAACCAACAAAGTAAATTAAAAGTTTCTAATCCAGGAAAAGCAGTAAATATGATCTTACCGCTACTTTGGAAAATTCTTCAAGATTGGAAGCTAGTGTTTCCCATTGAGAACTGATGGTGGGAAGTGGACGGAATTCGGTGCCGTTAACCTCTGTATTTGAGTTCAACGTGATTATTTCCTTGTACAGTCTGTGGCCTTTCGCACTTGCATCATACCTTCAATAGGAATGGACAAATAAATCAACAATCAGCAATAAGATTTCAAAAAGCATACAAATCTCGGAATATCTTGAGAAAAATTACCAATAGAAGGTCTCCTTTCCATCTCTCCAAAATGCTTCTTTGCGGAAAGAAGATATCTGAGTTCCTTCTTTCAAAGCATCTTTTATGTGTGACACTGCATCGTGTTGCTGAGCAAAAATAAGCACAAAGAAATATGGTAAGTTTAAATTAGGACGGTCTCGTAAAGAGAATGAAGAAATATCTTCAAGGGGGGAAAAAAATCTTTGGAGACGATGATGAAAACTGATGTACATCAGCTCTAACTTCACATAGCGCTTTTAGGAGTAATAACCGATCCGATGGATCAAGTTCTTTGTACTTGGATATCTCCTCTCTGCACAAGCAAAAAAAGATGTCAGTTATTTTTATGCCCTCAAAGTTAAGGTCTCCCTAAAATTTTTGGTGCATTACTAGTACCCTTTGGAGGGCGCAAGTGGAATCTTCCCCTCAGCAACCTACAACAAAGAGACATTACAATAGGTAACTCCTGTCAACAACAGGAAGGAACAAGTCAAACTCGGGCAATTAAGCTTCTTATGACTCACCCATGGCCACCACACAGTCAGTTTCTTACACAGTTCAGTCACCCATGCACCAGATTCATCCAGTTTCTTACTTACAGGTGGCAATCCCTAGAAAAAGTACAGACGAAACTGGAATTCAGAAAGGAAATAAGGCAGACCCAAATCGAAATAAAATAGAAAGCTATCAAAAGAAACACGTAAACAATGTGAAAGCGGAGATCGATTTATTTATTTTGAGTGGTTGTGCCAATTTACAGCATAGGTATATATGACCGCTTTGCTGAATGCATTTAGCTTCCCTTGTTATTTTTCAAGCTATAGAAACAAAAATGCTTCTTTCCGCATATAACTTGCATTCACATACTAAATTTAAAAGGTCCACAGCAAATTTTGCAATTGCTTCGAAATATGCATTTGAGATACGCATTTGTCTCGCTTGAATGACTTTAAAATGTTACTAATAATTAGGATGAAAAGAAATATGCATTAAGATTATTAGTGAGTATCAGCCACCTTTAGAAGTACAACATGGAGCCGGGCTAGTGAGGCATCGGGATTTATGAGCCCCATCTCTATTTCTTCAGCCGACAGCCTTAGGTCATTACCAATTACTGGCCCAAAAACCTGAATCAGGTCATTACGATGTTAGTCATTCTATATGACCTACGCCAAAGCATTTATCACAGAAGACGAAGTACATGATCGTTCTCTATACTATTCATTTGAAAATCTCGATTTCGCATAACCATACACTAATACATAGCCCCAGTAACGAAAAACAACGTCAGACACTTACCATAATCCATAGCCAAAAAAGGATTTTCACCGCAGAAGTCAACAAACACGTCGAAGTATTACGTCCAAGAAAAGTAAGACGGTGATTCATGACCCCAACCACGAAAAACAACGTCAAATACAAATGCTCGTAGCTAAGAAAAAAGAAAAGATTTTTTGCCGTCAAATTCAACGAGTGCCATGAAATTTTACGTCTAGGAAATTCACAACGGAAGCTAGTTCCCATCGTCTGCGTAGCTTCAAAACCTCCGCTTGTAGAGGATTTTGTTGCAGAAGGGTGTTCGGCTCGCCGCTCCCGCCTCCTACGGTCCCCATTGCCTGACCGGCGGCCTCGCTCACAGCAACTGCAGTTTCGGAGGGCAAACGTAGGGTTTAGTGAGAGAAATCGAACGCCGAGTGAGGAACTGAAAAACTCGGAAGTCGAAACGTTCGAATGGGGGGTAAATTTAGAGAATGGGGCGCCGTCCCGCCTAAATTTTTGTCTTGTTTCCAATGAATTTAATTTAAACATGAAATTAACTCCCCACGCCTAAATTTTTGTCCTGTTTTCATTGAATTTAATCATGAAATGAAACTCCCCACACCCTCCCCAAAAGAAATTAAGTTAAAACTAAGTAATTAACTGTTAACCAATGACTAATTAATTAGATAAATATCTGGCCTGAAATTAATTAGATAAATAGATATTTTGGTGGGTTAATTCACTAACTGAGGTTAATATATTATATAAAAATATATTGTATTTCTCATTAATGTAACTCATCTTCATTTGCCCATTGCCACAATATACTATTTCACGAAATAGTGCGAACCAAGCGTAGACGGAAAACTATATAGTACAATTCTTCTTTTAAAAATCACTTGATACTAATTTTTTACTAATTTTTTAATAAAGTTTCAGTTAATAAATTATATGTTTTTCTACATGGTTGGCTAAATCAGTGATGGTTTACTGTCATGCCATGTCTCGTCTTTCTTAGAAGTAAAAAATTAGGTGCAAAATACTATTTCACTAAATAGTGCAAATCAAGTGTAGATGGGAAACTATATAATTCTTTTAAAAATCACTCAATACCAATTTTTTAACAGATTTTCAGTTAATAAATTGTATGTTTTTCTACATGGCTGGCTAAATGAATGATGGTTTACTATCAAGCCATTTCTCGTCTTTCTTAGAAGTAAAAAATTAGGCGCGCTTATTGAGAAAGTTGAGTTTTATATGTCTTCAAAAGATCAAATAGAGTACTGAGTGCTGACCCAAGGGCGGTCTGTGAGATCTGATGATGTTCAAGTGACAATTCCAAACCTCATTTTATCAACAACCTACATGAAATTGACCACCCGCAAACCTGCATGTATACTACTGTGGAAAATTCTATGCAGAAGTTGAAACAAAACTTTCTTGTTTGAAAATGGAGGCCTTGAATGTCATATAGCCTGACATTCATTTTTTGTGAGCATGTCCAGAACGGCAGAAGCAACTTTCTGAAATTGATCCTTATCCTCGTCCAAGGTTCTCTTCCTCTGAAGAGCGGAATCTTTGCATTTCTCTATTTCCTCCTTTATTGCATCAGAGTGTTCTTTAATTTCACTGCAGATCATTATTGATGTATAAACAGTCAAGATATATGGTTGTTAGAGAGTACTAAATTAACATTGCAAAATGACATGACATAAGCGATGGCTTAGAATCCACAGACCAATCCTAAAGGACAGCTCCGATCGGCTTCATATGTGTTAAAAAATATCATCGATATACATATATATAATATGAAGAGAACGCTGAAGCAGAATTCCAAGCTGAGATGTGCAGCCAAAATAGATGCATGCTAGACAATTCAGCACTTCGAAGAGGAAGCATTGGTGAGGGATTGCAAAAGCATTAAATAACAAATAAATTGCAAAGATCTCGTAGTTGCTGGATCGGTTATTAAAAAGTACGTCGTCGTTATCATAATTCTGATTTCAGACTAGCAAACGACTACCCAAAGTTAAAGACAGCCAGTATTCAGCACAACTCACTTGATCTTCTTTAGCATGTTCTCCACCATCAGTTGGACTTCATTCGGTATGTCTGCGCGAATTAGCAGAGTAAAGCAATCGAATGAGTAAAATTATGCAGCGCTCCGATTCGATTGCTCGAAGATCGGTCCGTTAGAACTCCAAAGATGAAAAAAACGCATCTCATCTTTAGATTCAAAACTCGGGACCAATTAAAGGCAGGTGAAGGAGTAAATGGTGTTATTATAGATATATAGAAAACATGTGGCATTCATGACAAAACAGATTAAATGCTTTGCAAAAAACACCGTTATGCATGAAAAAATCGGGACATTATTGAGACATTTCAAAATCGGCATGTTGAATACTTGAATTCAAGAGCAAGATTCGATGAGAAAAATTAAAGCTGGTATCGATAGCAGCAGCAGCTGCGGTTACAGTAATAATCAGATTAGAAGGAGCAAGGGACTCACTAGTGATGAAAGCCGAGAGTTGATTTTCGGGCTCAGGGATCGGTGTTGAGGCTTCCATGGCTGTGCGCGCTCAACCACAGTGCCGATCGTTAGCTGGGACTTTTGGAGGGAAATCAATCTCAGTGCAACAAGTATGATGGCAGGGAGAGGGGAGCACGCTTGGCGTGGGCGGTTTCTTTTTTCTTTCTTTTCTTTTCATCCCCCCCCCCCCCCTATCTGGACTAAATACATTTACTCAGTGAATACCTCACATATCACAATAATAATAATTTAATTTAATTAAATAGCTGTAAGAGATTTTATCTTTTAATATATATAAAATATTCAATCTCAAATTTTTAAAAAGAATAGTGTAAGGATTGTTTTAATAGTAAAAATTATTTTAAATTTTTAGAAAAAAATGTAACTCAACAATTTTTAAATATTAATAAAATTAAATAACTATACACGAAACACTTATTAAATAAATGGGTTTAAGTTATCCACCAAATTTAAATCCTTGACACTTACCTTAGGAAAACTCAATAGTAATTTAACAAGCAAAAAAAAATTGTTATTTTATTGTGACATTATTTTTTGAAGAATGTTGTTTTAATATATCAAAGGGGATACCTTGACCGCGAGTTTTGAACTAGACAGTCCACATTCAATGTGATTTATTCTTATATTTTTAATAAATAACTAGTATAGTACTTGTGCAATGTATATTGTATTTTTGTAACTTAAAATAATTTTATTTTAGAATATTAATCAATACAGATGAAAAAAATTTACATAAAATAAATTACAATATTAACTAATAAGATGAGTGTAGAATTATAAAAATAAAATTAAAGAATTCATTATGAATTCTCAAATGTCTAAAACCATAATGGCTTCTCTCTTCATACTTTTCACCTCTTTTACTTGACTCATCTATCAATTTTCTTTGCTTTGTTTTATTTTCACTCTAACAAAGAAGCTAACATAGTTGATCAAGTCCAACACCCTACAGTTATTGAAGTATCTTTTTTATAAACCACAATATACTTTATTATTTTTATTGTGCTGATATTGTGGATTTGTATTTTTTTTTTTTATCATTTGTAGGTTTATCTAATAATTAGATAGTTTGTAATGTTTTTCTCACACATAATCCATGAAAAGTTAAGATTATAAAGTAAATATAAAAATTGTATGGCTTTATCTTTTCTATTAAATCATGTGAGGGTAGAAAATTTTTTGAAGTACTATAATTTTTATGATCTATAAATGTCAACAAATAAACATTAATATATATTGAAAATTTAATTTTCAAACCAAATATCAATATTTTCAAATCTTGTAACCGAGCTATTACAATATAAAATATCATCAAAATCAAAACACAAATTTGATAGTTAAATGATTATTTTCAAATACAAATTATATATAATTTTAAAATTTAAAATTTGATTAATTCATTTGACATTCATAATTCAAATAAAAATTAAAATTAAACATAGATCATTAAAATATCATTTGAAATTAAGAAATTTGGATCACTATGAGTAAATTATTTTGAGCATGCTTTTCAAAAAAAGATTTATAAAGAGATGCCCAAGAGTCAAGATATATGAAAAGTGAAAGAAAAATTACTTTGTGTTGATGTGAAGAACCATGTCAATATATATCTTCCTCTTCATTCAAATTTAATATACCTGCAGAGTTGTAAAATAATTAACAAATCATCATATAATTTACAATAAATATTCCAAAAACTAAAAATTAAATTATATGAAACCATAACTTTACAAAAATGGAGCACAGTAAGTTTTTTCAATTTCATTGCTTATGAAAGACAGATTTAGAATGATGGAGGAACCTTCAGTAAAAAAAATTACAAAATGCACACTTATGCGCAATTACCTAATATCTACCATGAATATGAGATATGTCAAAAATTAAATTGCTCTTTTGATATCTACAAGCACATAACAACCTCATCGTACCATTGATTAGGAATGAAAAATCATTATAAAAAATGACACAAGAGGTGAGAGGGCACTGGTGACGAAGAGAGAAGCCAAAGATAATGAGAGTTTTGTGATTCTGCTTGTCTTGATGAGGAAATGGAGTAATTGAATGATATTAGGATTGAAAGAAAATCTTGTGTGTTTTATAACTGCTCAATGTGATCGTGTGTTTGTGTAATTTAAAATTTTAAAATTAAAAATAAAAAAAATTATGAGAAGTTACAATGATAGGAGAGTGGGAGAGAAATGAGGGAAAATAAGAATTAAAATAACTCATTTAATTTTAAGTATAATATTTTTTAATATTTAAGAATATTTGATAGAAAATCTAATGTGCATGCTGAAATTGCATATTTTAGGTAGTGAAGAAGTTGAAAATTTATAATAATAGATAAAATCACGGGAGAGAAAATTCAGGAAAAAAAGAAAGTAATTTCTGCAATTTAAGATAATATTATTATCATCTATAAAAAAATTTGGTATCATGTAAAAAAATTATTGTTAGAAATTAATGTTGACATGGATAACTTATAAATATTTTATTAATTTATACATTTATCATTTAGTTTTTATTTTTTATTTATATGATTTAATTTGCAAAAAATTATTTAAATTATTATTCATAAAATTATCATACCAATTCAAAATTATTCACAAAATGACAATACTCAGAAAGTTATATTTGAAATCTTGAGAGAGAGTATCAAAGATAAAATTTTTAAAAATAAAATTTTAAATTATGAAATAGTTAAAAAATTATATTTGAGATTTTGAGATCATAGGAGAGAAGTTACATTTTTAAATTATAATCTTATAAAATAAAAAAATATTCTTAAAAATTAATAATGATGTAAATAGCATAAAATTGTAATATTTTAAAAAAACTCATACGTGTCAAACTTGAAAAAGTGCTTTTCATTTATCTATTGTACATATACATACATACATATATATATATATATATATATTTCTCACCAAATTTTACGTGAATCATGGATATAAAAAGTTATTAGAATGATATAATAATTTAAATAATTATCCATATTTAATTTAATTATATGCATGAATTAAAAAAAATTACAAATTAAATCGTAGAGCAAGGAGGTTATTAGAATGATAGGATACTAAATAACTAACCATATCTAAAAGAGGAATCGTGGGGTTAGGAAATTATTAAATCATGGGTTAAGAAGTTACTGAAATAAATAATTTAAATAACTATCCATATTTAAATTTAATTATACGCATGAATTAAAAAAATAAAAAACTAAATTGTAGAGCAAGAAAGTTATTAAAATGATAGAATATTGAATAATTAACTATATCTAAAACAGGAATCATGGGATTAGGAAATTGTTAGATCATGGGTTAAGAAGTTATTGAAATGAAAGAATAAAAATGAATTATATTCATGAATTAAAAATAATTTTGTAAATGAAATCCTATGTGGCTTTCTGAAATTGTACTATTTGAAAAAAAATGACACTTGTCATTCATACTGGAATGAATAATTTAAATAACTATCCATATTTAAATTTAATTATATGCATGAGTTAAAAAAATAAAAAACTAAATTATAGAGCAAGAAAGTTATTAAAATGATAGAATATTGAATAACTAACCATATCTAAAAGAGAAATCATGAGATTAAGAAATTGTTAGATCATGGATTAAGAAGTTATTGAAATGAAGGAATAAAAATAAATCATATTCATGAATTAAAAATAATTTTGTAAATGAAATCTTACTTGGCTTTCTGAAATTGTACTATTTAAAAAAATGAGACTTGTCATTTATAGAGATGTGCTTGTTATTCTTCTATTTTATATATATATATATATATATATATAGATTTTTTTAATAGGCATGAAATTTAAAATTAAAATAACTTTATGTTATCATGCCAACTTATGATTTTATATAAAAAATACAAATAAAAAAGTTTAAATCTCGGTTACTATAAAGGAATTAAATGGAATGAATAAAAAAATTAAATCACCTTTTTATTTTATGATAAATATAATAAAACTCATTAATATATATTTTAAAAATTTCATGAATCATGGTTTCTAATCACGCAAATTAATTACCCCTTTTTAATCATTTTATTTTTATTTTTTTAATATATTTTATTCTAATATTCGCTAGTAGGAGACCTGTATCATTATAATTAATCTTTAAATTATCCAAATTTCATCACAATAATCAGCACCACATTTCCCATTGTTGCGATGACTGATCAGCAGTGGACAAAGATTTTCGTGAGGGGGTACCCAACAGGCCAATACAAATGCCATGAAGCAGGTCCCGTTCTTCAACTTTGCTCCCCTTATGGCCAATTGGGCCGATTTTTTTTTCCCTGAATTAGGCCGTAGGTTATTTGGTTTATGAGGCCCAATTTAGCGTTAGGTTAGAAATGAATGTTCCATTTATTGCTCCAAGGACGTGACTTGAGCTGTGGAAACCAATGAGCACCTGTCTTAATAGTTAGAAACCTGAACAGTTTAATTTAAAATCTCATATTTAAATCTCAGGATATGCAGCTATGCAATTAAGTATGTAAAATATGTCTTATCAATAATACCCGCAAAATTTTCTTAAAAAAGAGCCCCACCTAAATAAAAATTCGAATTAGTTTGAAATAAATTGGACAGATATTAATGCAAACATATCCAAATGTTTCAGGACACTGGGTGTAAAAAGGGGGAAAAAAAAAATAAGGCTGTGAAAACAGAATCTTCTTGCCTCTCGCACTCATCAATTCCTTCGCCTCTCGTTTAATGCTGACTGTTTCCTCTTTCTTGCATAGGAGTGCTCAGTACTGTGTCTGTGTGTGTACCGCTTCTTTTGTTTATGGCCAATGTACCCCCTCCTGTTTAAAATATGAGTGCTCTCTTCGTTTTAAAATAGAGAGAAATCTTTTCACACTAGATTTTCAAAAATACGAATATAATATATTTTTATTTTTTCAATACATAAGCGATAATTTCTTAAAAATATCATTAATGAATACATTAGTTAACACTTCACCTTTAAGCAAAATACTTTATTAAATAAAGATAAATATAAAAAAATATTAATTTAAAGATGGTTAACTAACTTATTGAAGATATAATTTAATTAAAAATATTTTGTATTTT